AGGGGCTTATGCATATGTATTTTAAGGTGTTTGTATATATTTTTAACTTTTTCTGTTATACTACTAGAAGACGATTGAGCAAGAAGCAGAAGTGTGCCATACTTTAAAGAACTAAATCATACCATACTAATGAATATAACCAGCATGCAAAGATTAATCAACAAAACCTGCTCTATCGTTCTTGTAGAACATGGGAATCCTTTCTTTTGTGCAGTAATAACCTAAACAGAATTTAAATGCCTCATGTCTGTGAATGTGTCGAATAAGACACCCTAGCTACAACCTATTTGCTGTTCAGAAGGGTCTAGGGTATTAAAAATGTTATACTGTTTGGGATGTCAATTTTAATTATTCTACTAAGATTTTCTAAGGGGAAAACAGACTTTTAGAGGAACCTGGATTAAAGCCAACTATATTACAAGTAAACAGATCACAGGTCATGCTACTCATGCTCTGGCACAGTAAAACAGTAGTTACCACACCTGAAACTTTAAATATTAATAGTCACTTCCACAAATTTGAGAAGTGCATATGAAGAACAAGCTAAAAAATTAGTTTTTTCTTTCTAGATTTTAGAAAGTTAGCTACTAACATCTGACTATATTTAACTGCATGCTGTATTACATAGTTGCTACATGAACAAATAGCTACTGGCAGGTTTAAACAAGCAAGAGAGAAGGAAAAAGTACAGGGATAGTAAAACTTCAGAGAAAAACAGTCCCAACAGAAACCTGAACAGACTTACCATGGATTCTGTTCTTCCAACAACAGAAAACCACATTTTGATCTCCGGGACTACAGATCCTTGAAAGAAAAAAAACAATTCTCCACTTCTCTTCCAGCCCTCAACAGCAACCACCGCTCTAGTCTGCTGGATTTTCCAAGATACTCATCAAGATAACTCGGAGCTGGATGCTATGACACAGTGTAGCGTTTATCAACACCAGCTATAACCAATACAATATTCAGACTCTTACGTAATCAGTTATGCTGTTCTGACTCCCATCTACTTTAGAGGCTTTATTAAACTCTGAAAACTGCTAGAAAAAACAAAAAGGGAGCCCTTTTGTACTAAAGACAAAAAAACTCCAAATTAAACAGGAAGTAATGTGCTGGCCCACAGATGGCTAAGTCACATGTGAAAGTCCCCAAAAAAGTGATATATTTTTAAAGTAAACTCTATGCACACGCTGCTTCCAAATCATCTGGATTTCATAAAAACTAAACCACAATGTGGTTGGGAGTCTGGCAGCTTTTAACATCAAAACATCTTTCAGGGTTAGAGCAACCAAAGTCTGCACTCAACCTCAAAAAGCAATACTGTTCCCTGTTCCCAATGCCCGACCACTCCTACCAACTACATTTCCATATACCTATTACAAAAGCTATTGCTAATAAAGCTACAGGAGTATTACAGTAAGAAAACATGCAATACCTACAAAAGGGCAGAACAACAAGTTACCTTTCTGGATCACATATGAAGCTATACAGTTTAATTTTAAATAAAAATTGGTTTAAAGCATTCAGTTTAAGAAATGTTGTTGGGTATTCTCCCAATTTACAAAAAACTGAAACAAAATGCAAACCAATACAACACTGTTTACACTGCTCTGTCAGCTAACAGTTGTTTCACAACTAAACTTGTTTTCTCTGCTATGTTTGCATATAGTGTACACACTTCCTACATATTTGCTCAAAGGGGCTGCCCTGCCTCAGAAAACACCCTTACAGCAAAGTGAGGTGAACTAGGTGATGCACTGTAGTTCTGCTCTCTCTGGCAGTCCTGGCAGGCCTTTAAAACTTCTAATTACATAAAATATGAGTAGCCGTGACAAAGAAGTAATGCACTTCAACATTTTACCTATCACTAGGTGGGATGAGGATCCAATACAGGGTTCCCCAGGGACCTAACACTGTCATCTACTCCTTGACTCTTCTCTTTATCTTTTGTTTTTACATTCACATACACATTCACGTATCCCATGGTGATATTTCCATCATAAGAACAAGCAGGTGCACAGCATTTCAATGCAAGTTGCACCCCTTCTCTGCTTGTATAACCTTAGCTTCAACTTCAATTCTCTTTTTTTCAACTGCAGCAGAGAAGATGTGGCAATCATTTGATGATTAAGAACATTTGGTGTAAAGGCATATATAAGGTATTGTATCTGATTTCCCCATTAGAAACTTTCATCTACAAAATCCTGCAAATAAAATAAAAAATAATAAAAACTCAAATAATTAGATGATGAATTTGTTAGATGTTTCCTCAGAGGTGAGTACAGGTTACTAGGAAAGTGTACATTTTCCTGCAATGGTAGAAGGAAGAAAACCAGTCCATTGGAATTATTTTTCTTTATAATCTCGAGAATCTGCCCATTTCATCCATCTCTAGAATATTCACCAAACTATAAACTTCATCCAAAGCCAGTGACAAGTATGAGGAGCCCACAAGACATAACAAGAAAGGCAGGTCAGCAGTGACATGCAAATGTATTCTCACAGCACATTACTGAAAGCAACTGTTTTCTCACATCACAGGATAAAAACAACTGTTTTCCTAACAAAAGCTGAACAGATTCAGGGTTGTCCTTCACTGGTTGGTACAGAGCCACCTGTTGACCAGGCACCGAATTTTCTATTACTACAGCACTTTCGAAGCACTCTAGAAACCAATAGTTCAATGAACATAATTGGGTCAGCAATCAAACTGGGTTCCTGCGAAGGGCAGCAGCAATTACGTATTTCTGAAACTAAGTATGAGCTTTCATTTCATCAATTATATGAGCACTTGATAGTCAACCTTTACTATTAAAAAGTTAGAAAAAATCTAAATCTATCCTCACAATTGCCTCTCCCTCTCATTTCAGATATTCTATTTAGTTAATGTTTAGAAAATTTTAACAAATTGTCTACTGGAGTTCTTCATCCATTTTCCTAAGCCAAAGTTAAAAATGAGAATTTTAATTTTTATGCAGGTAAAAGATTCATGACTTGAGACACGTAGAAAAAAATACCAGTCAAAGTCAACAAGATAGGAATAGAAAGAAAAAGTCCACCCATTGTTGCTAGCTTCTCAGTCATGCTCACTCAGTTCTCTAAGCTGTTCTGCTCTGACCAAACTGAGAAAATGAATGCCTGTGTGTTCTTCCTTACTCTTTTTTTGTTTTATGAAGCCTATTACAGGAAAAACATACTAATAATTACTTACAATATGCAACTTTGAACCTCTTGAAAATAATCCTATTTAACTACTAAAGCAACTTGTTTCAATGCAATGCATACGATCATTTTTATCCAATGAACATTCTGATGAATTCAAATTAAGTAAAAGTTTGTATTCTACATACACGGAAACTAAACCAACCTGCTTCTTGCTTATTTCAGACCAAGACTTAAAACATAACTGTTTTTAAATCATAATTCCAATATTATGACAGGCACACAGTAGTAAGATGAAATGCACTGCCTAAACCAGTGTTGCTGCAACTGTGCAGAGATGAAAACTGTTGCTTCCATGACTGACCATGATAAAGAAATAATGAAATTTGTTAAATAATTGTAAAAAACCTTCAAATCAAGCTTACACACTGACCAGTAGCACTGCTAATGCTGCTAATGGAAGTTAAATGTCAGTTGCTAAAATGACATCTAGAGGCCAGCCAGCTTCAGTGAAAAAGGACTTTTCCCCCTGCAATATCCTGCTTCACTCTAGATGAGAAATCAGATTTCAAGTTTAATGTGAAGAAAAAAAGTAGTTTCCACTTCTCATTTTGAAACATTCAACAGAAATGCTGATGGCAGTCAGAAGTCTGATACATATTTAATTTGGTGTCAACATCTAGTATTTGCTTCTCAAATTATTAACTCACTCCACCAAATAAGAGCAGAATATTGAGTTAATTTTTTTAGAGCCTGAATTGTTTACTCAATAACTGCTGATTGTTAGCACCATACATTTGACACCAGGTATTCCCTCACAGATGTCAGAAATAACTCTTTAAAGCTGATATCATGCAAGATTACCATTTCAAGAACAGACTATGAAATGAGCGAAGTTGTAGGGAAAAAAAAATAGTGCTGTTTAGAAGCAATTAGCTACGTGAGATAACTTAAAAGCAGTAAAACAATTATGTTGTCAGCTCATGCACTAAAGTGCCAAGGAGGACCACAGTATCCTGAAGCTTCATGTATTACACAGTGAACAGACATTAGAAAAGACTTGTTCTATCTGTTGTACACCACGTAATTACAACACAGACTTTTGGGTATCGCTGTTGTGTAATTTATAACAAGTCTTAAACTCAAAAGCTTGTGTCTACTATTTGATCCAGTTAATAAAGCAAAACCAACCAACTAGTGAAGTCTTCCATCTGGTGGCTGGAGCTGTATGTGCATTCTATACATTACTATCTAGTGCAACTAAGAACAGCACACACCCACAATTTCGGCAAGTCAGGGCAAGAGGTACACCCTCCTCCACCCAGCTATTACAGCTGTAGCTCTCTAATATAAAGAAGGAAAACTGAAACCATACTTGCACTGTACACTGTGCAAAAGAAAAGGTGTGTTCACATCAGAAAGTATATAAACCTTAATGTATACAACTGAATTATTTTATTTATTCATCAATTAAAAAAAGCCCCACACATTTTATTCTTTGTATTTACTGCTTTTCTTTCAGTAGAAGTTCTAAATAAGCCTGTTTATTAATTCCATTAAATTACAATGCCAATTTTTGTCTCTGAAAAAATTAATAAACTTGTAGTAGAGATGTGAAGTTAAATGTCATAATACCTAAATCCATATTATGTTTCCTTTTATATTGTCCACATCTGTGTATTTTACAGAAACATTTCCCAGTCAGAATAAAAACATGGTCAACACCATGTGCACAATAAACTAAAGGGAAATAGATTTTTTCATTAACATTTTCCACAGTAGGCTGATAAAAATAGAAGCTTTTTTTCAATAAGACTTAAACAAACTGACTTCCGTACCTTGGCAGCAACAATGCTCAGCCCCATTCCGTTCTGTTTTTTTAGCGTTACAGTGATAATTTCAGGTTCTTTCCTCAAAGGCTGAGCCTATCAAACAGGAAAGGGGAAAGAATAAAAAATTCAGAAGTTCATATTTACTGCCAGGCTAGGAAAGTTATTGCGCAAAATAGTTTGTTAAAAAAACTCTTAAATTGTCAAAGCAGCAGATCTTGCATCCTAAATAATACATCTGGTACTCCATTTTAAAGGTAGAATATCTAACATTTGATTACTATGGATTCATCTTATTAAAGTACTACACCTGTGTTGTAAACACTGCTGAAACTTTGAAGTTTACCCATTGTTCCTCCTCCTCTAATTCAGTAAAGAGATTATTAATGAGTTACCATTTGAAATGTAACAGATCTATAAAATTGTAGTAACTTTTAAAGAAAACTGAAGTTTGGACTCTGAAGGCCCCTATACAAAGGTGAGGGTGATCTACATGGAGCTCAATTTTTAGTCCTGCATCTGGAAAATAATCCTCCAAACATAAAAAGAGACCAAATAATTTAAAAGGCAGAGTTAAAGCCTTGAAATAAAGTTACGAAAAATTTCACTTCTGAAAACTCTCGAATACAGCTCAAGTGCCTAAACAAGTTCAGTAATTTTTTGGGGGGTTGTATCTTTTAACAGTGCTAGTTCCTCAACTCAAAGTTGTCATCACAGTCTTCATAGCTGAAGTAGATAAATTAGAGCATCTTAGGTTTAACAGGAATACAAGCTAACTGAAAGTTCCATAAGACTCATGACAAAGTAAAAATAAAAGCCAAGGAAATTATTTTAAAAAAATATTAACACTTTTTATTAAGCTCAAGTACTAGAAAGGCAAGTAGTTTTTAAGCTGGGAATATTAATTATAACTATGAAGCCTTTTCTGTTTAGTTGTTCTAAAAATTATTTCACACAAAGCCACCATCTTTCCAAAACCAAGTTGTTCTGTAACTTTGATATTCAAAGACAGAGAAAAACCTCACAGAACAAACAAACAAACAAACAAACAAAAAACTATAGCAGAAAAGAAAAAAAGCTACCTTGCACTGAAGTGAAACCCTTCTTTAATAAATATAATGAAAGGGAAAACTAAAGTATTTTTTCCTACTTCCTTTCTCCTGATACTTTCTCCTGAATGTATCAGATTAGAACTTAATACTAAATATTTATTTGGTAGCTGACAGTTTATAAATAAAAGCAACCTGCAGCTCCATTCACTTTATAATTTATTTACAGTATTTACAATTATTTACAGATATATATATATTTTTGGCTGTGTTTAACAGAAATTTCTTCACTGGTTACTCTCAGAGCAGTGGGACATGATAGACAGAGTTTGCTTATGTGAAAATTAACCAGGCTACAGCCTAGAAAAACAGTGACTTAAAAAAATCTGCAAATAGTTCCTTAAATTCACCAAATCATTGACAAACTATATGTTTAACAAAGCAGCCTGTTCTTCCTAACAAGGACTAAAACTGATCACATAAAACTCAATGGCTTGCCAAGATAGCAGTTTTGGCAATTATTCACTGAATCAATACTTACGAGCTCAGCATTCTCATGTGACAGGTGACTTTCATAGTCTGCACCTTCAAAGTATATTGTCCATGTGCCTGGTGACCGTGGATGAGGTGTTAGTCTACAAAAACCTGAAAGAAAAAGTAACATCAATATAGTCACGGTATTTTCTGCAGATTAAGAGAAACCATATCGGACCCAGCCAGCACGGGTTTAGGAGGGGCAGGTCCTGCCTGACCAACCAGATCTCCTTTTATGATCAGATGACCCGCCTGGTGGATGAGGGGAAGGCTGTGGATGTGTCTACCTGGACTTCAGCAAAGCCTTTGACACCATCTCCCACAGCATACTCCTGAAAAAGCTGGCAGCCCATGGCTTGGACAGGGCATTCTGTGCTGGGTTAGGAACTGGCCGGAGGGTCGGGCCCAGAGAGTGGTGGTGAACGGGGCTGCATCCAGTTGGTGACCGGTCACTAGTGGTGTCCCCCAGGGATCAGTGTTGGGCCCAGTTCTGTTTAATATCTTTATTGATGATTTAGATGAGGGGATTGAATCCATCATCAGCAAATTTGCAGATGATACTAAGTTGGGGAGGAGTGTCGATCAGCTGGAAGGCAGGAGGGCTCTGCAGAAGGACCTGGATAGGTTGAAGAGTTGGGCTGATTCTAACGGGATGAGGTTCAACAAGGCCAAGTGCTGGGTCCTGCACTTTGGCCACAACAACCTCATGCAGCACTACAGNGGTTTTTATTCCTCTACAATTAGTTCTAGTTAAAAATTCTCGACCGCTCTTGGGATTTTGGTTGGAGGTTCCAAGACTTTGCTAAATTTCTTGAATAACAGGAATGTGTGGTAAGCTGCTTCCTGAAAACTCTAGAGGAGATCAAGCCTCGAATTTCTTCAAAATAAAAGAGAAAGGTAACTCTTGCAGCACAACTCAGTTTAAAAACACATAAGGCCATGCACACTCCAGTTCTGATACAGGAAAATGGATTGAGATGGCTTGACTTAACATCCTCTTTGAAACTTCTCTATCCCTTATTTGTAATGTAAATGGGAAGCATTTCTTGGCAAATCAGCAAAGTTATGATCAACAGCTGGACCATGTCAGACTTTCCAGATAGTCTCTAATTCTTGTTAATTCTCAAATAATTATTACAATTTATATTAAACAGTTACAGAAAAAGATGCAATGCAGTGCAGTCAAAGATCTGATTCTGCAGATGTATGTGGCAGCTAACTAAGCACTTATTAGTAGTGACCTCACTGAAGCCCTTCAAAAAAGACCTTCTTCAAAACCCTTGATGAATAAATTACTGCTAATTAGACATAGGGTCAGGTGAAAGTTTAACAGACTGAAGTTAAATTAAGTCTTTGTGAAAAGCCTCAGGAAGTTACAGTCTCCAGTGTTTTGTGAAGATATAATTATTAGTAAATAATTTTATTGAATTCTGAGCAATTGTTCTGTTGATCAAGACCTCACACTGTCCTACAGCCTCATAGAATCTGTTGCTGCTTTATTACCACTAAAAGGCAGCCAATCATTCACTGAAGAAAAAACTGAATACACAAAATCAACCACTGAAGAGATTTCATGCCTACAATCACTTTAATCACTTATAAGCTTAGTTTCAAGCTCTGTACTGTATTTCTTGCTTAGAAGTATTAAATATCAGCTGAAAGTTTAGTTCTGTGGATTGCTCAAAAATTCACTCTTAGTAATTCTTAAACTATCAATTAGGAGAAATTATCCAAATACTCAGTTTTGATAAACAGTAAAAGTTCAAATATGAAGGGAAAGAATGGAGACAAAGAAGCTGAACATGAGCCAGCAGTGTGCCCAGGGGGACAAGAAGGCCAAGGGCATCCTGGCCTGGATCAGGAACAGCGTGGCCAGTAGGTCCAGGGAAGTAATTCTTCCCCTGTACTCAGTGCTGGTGAGGCCACACCTGGAATACTATGTCCAGTTCTGGGCCTCTCAGTTCAGGAAGGATATTGAGGTGCTGGAGCAGGTCCAGAGAAGAGCAACTAGGCTGGTGAAGGGACTCAAGCACAAATCCTATGAGGAGAGGCTGAGGGAGCTGGGGCTGTTCAGCCTGGAGAAGAGGAGGCTCAGGGGAGACCTCATCACTCTCTACAACTCCCTGAAAGGAGGCTGTTGTAGCCAGGTGGGGGTTGGTCTCTTTTCCCAGGCAACTATCAGCAAGACAAGAGGGCAGGGTCTTAAGTTGTGCCAGGGGAGGTTTAGGATAGATATTAGAAAGAAATTCTTTACAAAGAGGGTGGTCAGGCATTGGAATGGGCTGCCCAGGGAAGTGGTGGATTCTCCGTCCCTGGAGATTTTTAAAAAGAGACTGGATGTGGCACTTGGTGCCACGGTCTAGTAACCGCAGCGGTAGTGAATCAAGGGTTGAACCTGATGATCTCGAAGGTCCCTTCCAACCCAGCTGATTCTGTGATTCTATGAAACAAAATAGTAGTATTTATCTTTTTATATTCGTGAATGTGTTGAATCTTACATCTCAGGTGCCATTATGGGCTTCACTGCGATTTCATGCTATCTACAAAATCTATAGTTCTACAGCTGCTGTTTCTGAGAAACATGTATTTAAAAACACAACAAGCTCCCAGAAAACTCTGGGGTTGCAAAATACTGTTTTCACCAACCAGTTTCAAAAGAGACATGAAACATCAAATCATCTTTTAAAATACAAACCACCAGAACTCTGATTAAGACAGTGCCACAGAAATCTTCTGCTTTGCAGAGGGACTAACCCATCTCAGCATAAATTTGGCAGAGGTGAAGCTTTGCCTGGACTCATAACCTTTTTAAATGTAACTATTCAATTAAAAGAGGCATTTAGTTTGATTTACTTTGTTATTTGAGCAATTCCTAGAATTTTGAAAAAGAAGCAACAGCAGCTCAGAGGTATCCAACATTGTTTCCTAAATCAGGAACAACAAGAATCTACATCACAGGCAAATTATGAATCACTCCATCCAAATATGTGATATTTTCCACATATATGATTGTCACGACAATGATATTCTCCTCCTCACAAAGACCATTTTCCAGCAATTCAGTTTACACTCACTTACTGCAAAAAGTCCCTCAGTATAATTTAAGGGAGGCCTAAAATGTAAAATTTTGAATGTATGCATTAAAAAGGCCTTACTTACAATAAATATACGGTCATTTTATGGCAACTGAATTATACTTACTAATTAAAGAATTTATTCCACCAGTCTCCTTTAGTCTCCAGACTACATCCTCTGTAACACACTGTACTTTCAAAACAGTCAGTTTCCTACTTTTCTTTTTAAATGCAAGAATATAGCTTTTCTATAAATTAAGTTGGAACCAACCACTGCAAAACTTTACTGTAGTATAGGGCAAGTCTGCTTTGTCGGTAGTCTCCTTTGCTACAGCCTCTTATTTACCACGACATTCCTGTACAAATTTTTTAAACAACTGCTTTTAAACAGAAAATTAATAACTTCTAATTATAATAAAAGAAATTCTAATCAAATTGAGTAGCACCAGATAAAGATTATAACTTGTTAATTTAATGTAAATGCTCTGACAGATCCCCTGCTTTACTTTCTCAAATTTAAGTCACTTTCATCCAATCACAAGAGCATCTACTTGTCATCTGAAATTTTGTTTGACTACAGATGCCCAAATCATACATTCTTACACTGATTGACACTGAAAGAACTATTTTTAGCTCATGTGGTTTTTTTTAATGTTATAAGAAAGGAGTTGATGAGCAAAAAAAAAAAGTGACAACTATTTAATTCACATTGGTTTTAAAAATAAAAAAAAAGGTTCTGGAGCAAAGGCAAAACAAAGTTTCAGTATGCACTAGTAACTCAGCACTGCTTACTTAGAACCTTGAAAATGAATGAAAGGGGCAGGGAGAAAGGGTAAGGATTAAAAAAGCCTTAATAGTTTTAATGGGTTGCGAAAGTAAACACTTGAAGAACATAGTATAAGAAGACTGAAACATACATAAGGAAAAAGTGGTTCACATTTATCTAAAATGTATTTTGCATTCTGTGTGCATTACACCAAAAAGGTTAATTGTAGAACAACCGAAGCACTAACCTCTTTGACAGAGTGGATCTAAAAATTCTTGTAAACCACTTGGAACATTTCTGACAACGTCGCAGGAATAGCCATCTTCTGGTAAAAGAAAAGGTAGCTGTAAGTCAGGATCCTCTTCCAGCTGGACTTCTCGGCCATCGCTGCGAGCAAGTTCATCAGCTGTATTCTCTGCAACAGTTACTACATTCTCTATCAATTCCTGGACAGAAGGCAGAAAGACATTGTTACTGAAAAGGAATAATTTCATTAAGGAAAAAAACCTAAGTCTAAGAAGATATTAAAACTGCAATAAAAAGAAATTTGGAAAATAAATTATCAGATATAAAACTTCACTGGCTCCACTACGTACAGTCAGTACACTGCATTGTTTTATTTTATGAAATCCCACAGATAACTGTGTTAGCAAATGTAACAGAAGCACCTATTTTTACTTCACTGTTTCCAAACTTGTGGGACGTGTTTTTAATTGATTAATAATAATAATAATAATAAAACCAAAACCAATGGAATTCCACCTATGCGTAAACAGGAAATATAGGCTATGTTCTTCAGCAAGACTTTCTAGTTTGGTAGCCAATATACAAAAATATCTCCAAGTCCTGTCCCCACCAATACCTTTACAATGGTTGTACTTGTACCTTTCATTTAGTAAACATGTATCCAAAGTTAATAAAGAAAGGAATCTGTAGACAATGCATTCAGCTATATAAATATTAGACTGTCTTTGCCTTTTTTTTTTTGAGATCAGTGAGCTATCAGAGTTTACCTTAAGAGTGTTTTCTACAATTCTGCCAGGAACACATTCTCTTTTGACTTTTCCCATGGATAAAACTTAGAATTGCCAGTTATGTTAAATATCAAGATATAAACCAGTTCCAAAATCAACATTATACATACACCTACATATAAGTTCCAGGTATCAATCTGTATAAAGGACAATCTGTCTACTACCTGTATGAAGGGATTCAGGATTCATGGATTTTTACATTCCTCATGCGAAAAAGCTTAGTGTTCCTACTGCTTTTCTTTGATTTCTACAAATTACCAATATTTGTTCCTTCTGGTTACACACAACCAGCTTTTAGGGCTGCTCTGTTCTCTCTTCTACCGCCTTTCTGTATTTCATCCACCAACAGTATAAGGTGCAGTGACATCTCCCTGAGCATGTGCAACGTGGAGCAGTACCTTACTTTCTAACTCCATGTAAGAGAGATTCTTTTTAATATCCTACTCGAATCAGTGAAGCACACAAAGATAAAGCAGCTATTTACAGCCACTGTTTTTCTTCTCATTTATGTTAAAACTGCACAGTGAGGGATAGAAGAGACTTACTGTTGGGATGAGTGGTTCATCTGGAGCACAGTGATAATTCTGCAACAAAGCTTGTAGCTGCAGAGAATTCAGCTTAAAGCAAGTACTGTTAATATGTGGAACATCTGCATGTGAATATTTGTCCATGGTAAGCAATGTGGTTGCCTGGAGAGGGGGGGAAAAAGTCACAGATGACAAATTCAAACCATAATGAACCTTAAGCGTTATTTCTGAGTGTTCTTTAGACAAGAGAGAGGAAAAGACAAAGCAAGAAGCAGATTTGTAACAGAAACAACACAAATAACCCCAAAACAACCACTGAATATACATAATGTATCCATAAGATGAATTAATAGTATAGTAAAACTATGACAGATGAGGCATATCAGTTTTTCAGCTGTTTTTGTCTCTGTTCAGCATAGTTATAGTTCAATTTTATAAACAGAAATGGAATAACATGTTCACTAATTATTAATTTCACTTGCAACTTAAATGTTAATCATGTTGAAAACACATTTTGTGTCTTTTCGCGCTACCTCAGTGTTCCAGGATTGATTCACACAAACTACACTTGTCCACATGCTATTCTCTAGGAACACAGAATATGCATTCTCTTTGGATATTCTCTTTGAATATACAAGCATGTGAGAAGTGTTAATCACAAATACACACACTCACCTGCACTATTCTGCTCAGGTGACAATCAGCAGCCAATTCTAAACCTTGTTTTTCTGCCCAGGCTTCAATGTGGCCCAACTGCTGACGAACAATAGCTCCCCAGTAATGTGAACATAACCCTGAATCTGGGGCTGTAACTAATCTGTTAAAAAGCCACATGTTGATAAAGTGAAACAGCTGGGAGAAGAGCTGTATAGTCAGAGCAGCATTCACTCTACATCGTCGCAACAGGGACATCGCTCCAGTCAATGTATGCAGCACATCATCTACAGAGATAAAAAGTAAATCACATTCACATACTCCAGTGTACATCTGGTTTAGGCAATAAAAATATAATACAGAGACACTTAAGTCAGTCTGGTGAATGCTAGCTGGAACCTACACGTATTTAAGCTACACAGACTTTCAGGAAAAAATTTACTGCTCCGTGGTTTTCAAGAGGGAGCACCATTAACTTGATACCTGGAATGTGTTTAACTCCTGAAATGAAAATAAACTCTTGGGGGAAAATATTTAGCATGCAAGTACATAACTGGCTATCGTGGCTGGGCTTCATGAACAAAGATTTGGGGAGGGCTCTACCCATGTTTGTTACAAGCGCCGCTGGTGGCTAAAAAGGCCAACACGAGACAGGCATGTCCGGTTGCAAAAGGCACAGCAGAAAGCCTTAAATCACATCCTCGCTTCCGTAAACTGATTTTTCTATCATTTTTTATAACAAGTTAAAAACTTCATATTCTACTGTTTCAAATGCATATTGCAATTATTCCATAGCTTCTTCAAGTTAAGTATCAAACTGTACTCAGAAATTTCAGCAGAAACTATTTACATTGTATGATGTACTTAAAAACCAGTAGAATGCACCTTCTATTTATACATTGTTTTTTTAAAGCATTGCTTATATTTCCTTTTGCCAATTACTGCACTGCAATATTTATCTAACAAGCAATAGAGACTTCTCATTAGCATCACCAAGAGCAAATGTCCTTCTTGGTAGAATGTATTTATGCAAGTAGCACTTCTGAGTCTTCTTTTAAGGCAACACTTTTAATCTGAAATATCTATTGAAAAGACCATCATGTTAATTGTTTTTAGAACTGAGACACAGGACTGTGCCTGAAAAAATTATCCATAGGTTAATAGACAGAAATCTATAAAGCAGCTCAAAATAACAAATAATAACAGTATCTACCTTTATTCCAGTATCAGTTTGCTACTTTTTCAGGTGTTTTGTCCCTGAAAGTACTCTATTTCACAGTACAGGGCACTAAAAACCCAACACTGCATCTTTGTAGTCTTCCTCCAACATTCAATGCAGGAAAAACCAAACACAGAAAGCTTAATATGCAAAGGACCAGAAAGTATCTATGAATTTTGCATAAATACCCTTCATAGTTCCTCAGCCCGGGAAGGTTTCATTGCTCCAAAGCAAGCATCATGTGTCAAGTATCAAGGCAGGGAACCTTGGTAGGAATTTACAAGGCCAGTCATCTTAACCTTAGTACCAAGGACGTACTTGATCAGACCCTCCCATAACATCTCTACAATGAAACTGCTGAGGTAAGGACTGGATAAGCTGATGGTAACATATGGAGAGAACTGGTTGGACCACTGGACTTGGTGGATTTGTGGATACAAAGTCCAGTTGGCAATCAGCTATTAGTGGCTTCCTTCAAGGATTGAGGCTGAGACTGATCCTGTTTAATGACTATTAATGACGTGAGAGATTGGATGGAGTACATTTTCAGCAAATTCACAGATGATGCCAAGATGGGGGGAAATACTGATATGCTGAAGGGTAGCAGTATTTTTCAGAAGGTCCTCAGTAGGCTGGACAATGGACTGACAGAGACTTCAAGAAGCTCAAAGGCAACTGCTCAGTCCTGCATCTGGGAAGGAGTAAGTCTATGCAACAGCACAGGACAGGTGCCATCTGGACAGAAAGCAGCCCTGGTGAAAATTATATAGAGATCCTAGTGTGTCTTTGCTTGAAAGGTAGCCAGTTGCATACTAAGCTGTTAAGTTAGCAGCAGGGCAGCTAGCAGAAGGGAGAGAGGGAAGAAATCCTTCCCTATGAATTCAGCATTTGTGAGACTGCATCTAGTTTTAGACTCCCCAGCACAAGGAGGATACAGATTTACGGGACCAAATTCAGCAGAGACACACCAAGATGATTGGCAGCCTGGAGAAAAGGGCATACGAGGGAAAGAGAACTGGATTTGCTTCATCCTTGCGAACGAGAAGGCTAAGGGCACAGCTTACTGATGTCCTCCTCTACCTAATGGGAGGGTTCAGAACAGGATGCCTCCCAAATGGTGCACAATGATAGCACAGAACAATAGAAAAACCACCACAAAAACTGCAACATGGAAAATTCCAATAAGATACAGGAAAAGTATTTTCACCATGAGGGCAGTCAAACATCAGAACAGATTACTCAGAGGTGTTATGGATACCCATCCCTCAGTGGACATTTAAAACTCTGAAAACCTGATCCAGTTTCACCTGCCTTGAGCAAGACACTCAATTAGATGAAACCCAGAGATTGCCCACCAGATTAAATTATTGCATGATTTTTAAACCCAGTACAGATCACCTGAATGTCCCTACTGTCCTTTCTTATCATCCATACAAAATTGATCCAAACAATTTTCAAGGGTTAGGGCAACTCATGGATGTCATATCACTAGTAATAAACAGAACTTCTGTCAACAATTAATGGTATGTTTGGAAGACAAAAGAAAAGATCAAGTAGTCTAACCTATTTTAGGCCTCTGAGGATTATTTTCCTCTGGATCATCAAGGAATGCTGGCATGTAGTTATTAAGCTCTGACTGCAGACAATGAACCAGATACCTGGAAGGGAATGGGGAAAAAAATAATTAAATCCTGTATGTGCTCATTACAAATGGTTTTAAAGAAAAGAGATCTATCAAATTGCAAGATTCTTGAAATTGCAGTGTTATGAATGTGAGTGTAGGAAACCAAATAATACTTTTTAAAAGGCCAGAGAGACCAACTCTCCCATACTTTTCCTAGAAATGTTGCAAAAAGAATGCGGTTGTCTGGGAACAAGCACAGTCATTTAAATGCAGCATCACCACCGCACTTGTAAGCAAAGGTCACATGGTACACAAAGAGATGCTGTCAGGCCAAACCTGGGTTCTGTAAGTTTGCAAAAATTATTTTTTCCGAACAGAAACACACTTTTCTCTGTTTTAAAATCTACCAAGGGTAGTATTAAAAAAAAAAAAAAAATTCCTATTCTGACTCAGCATAAAAAAATCCTGAAACAGTCCTAGTGTTTTGTGTGAGGAATTTTTTGATTCTTGTATTTCTCTTAACTTTACACTGAAAAGAAAAGCCTTTTTTAGTATTCTTTCTCTGCTATAATTAAACATTTTCTTTTACATTGTTTTTGTGAATTCATTTATACACTTTCTGTTAAGAATTGAAACTAAAAGGGAATCAAATTGTAAACACCTGCATAAAGGAAAATATGTCATGGCTTTCTAAAACTTCCCCTTCTGTTTCACTAGTAACATTCCTAATGAAATATCACCAGTTGCTGGAAAATAAAAGCCATCGCAATTTCAACCAGTCCTGGCATATGCTAGTCACCATCAAGTAACATTTTCACAGCAGATTTCTGCCTGTTACCATCAAATAACATTTTCAAGGCAGATTTCTTACTTTCCATGCTTCAATTGTGGTTTTTTATTTGCCTCTTAAGTATATATTCCACAGTTCTCCAAACGTTGAATACACGCATTTGGAATCTGCCAGTTACAGTGTACATAGTGAGAATTCACACAACTAAAATTCAGAAACATTTTTGCATCAAGTCTGTTCATAATGCACAAAGGAAAATACAGCACCATTCCTTCCTAGCCACAACAATATTATGCCTTTGATGACTACCTAGAAAATTGAAGTAGCAATGAGTTGTTTCAAAACACCAATGCAAAACACTGAGCTGTAGCAAAAAGGCACAGCTTCGTTAACAGTTGGTAATTTAGAGATGCTATAAAAATTGAAAGATTTTGTCAAAATACCTACTTGCTATACGCTATTTGCCCATAATTTACCAAGAGAAAAAATAAATTTGTGGGAGTCCATACAAAGGGGTCTGGTGCTCCTCTGAAACCTTTTGCAAGTTCAGAAAGCAATGATCAGGTTTTACGTACTACACATATTGCTCTTCAGAGAAAACAGGCACTTTTAAAGCTAAATGGTTAAACCATGGTTAGGTCTTCCATCCTGTCACAGTATAAAAAGAGCACAGAATATAATATTTCATATTACAGAAAAATGGAAATTTATTTTAAATAGGCAACCTACTAGTGAAAGAAGGCTGGGTCTAAGTCACCCAAGGTACACTGGAGCTTCTCTAAACATTAGCTTCCAATACACAGATTTGCTCAGAAATAGTTGTTTAGCAGTGGCTCAAGGAGAAAATAAATCTAAATATGAACAAAAATTAAGCCTTTCTTGTTGATTAGTGCTGTGCTCAGTCAATGTTGTTGTCTTTGTTCAAGGATCCTTTCCTCTGAGGGTTTCCCTTCCCTTTGGGTACTTCTTTCAAATTTTCTTTTAATCAGTATTGTAATTGCCTGAGCAGACAACCATAATTTGATTTTTACCCCAAGTCAAAACATGTCCTTCTACTTTTAAGAAAAAAAAAAACTGGGCAAAAAAAACCACTGAGCAAATCGCTATTTATGAGAATTATGAAAGTAGATTATAATTAGAAGCCCTTAAAGAGCACAAGATTCATTACTTTAGAAACCATAAATATTTAATCCTATGTATTTGTATATTAACAGCAAAAATAACCTTTCCTCACATTCTCACATTACATTAAGAGAGAGCAATCAACACAAACTAAATTTAAATAACATTTCCTTAACATTTTCATTGGCAGCCTCAACTTTCACAAGAAAAGCTAACAGATGAAACTCATTGCATAACTCAGTGATCCATATTCACAAAACAAGGCATCTGTCTGAAGAAGTAACTCTAGCCTTTCTTATAAGTTCTCAGATATTTACCAATACACAAGACATTATTGCTATACCTACAATTTGACAAAAATGTGAAGTTTTTCTAAAAACCACAGAATACAGTAAGTAAAACAATAAGTTGGAAAGCCTTACTTGAATGCCATTTGAACCAAGTGTGCCAAAACATCTTGTGCATCCACAGTAATTCGGCTAAGATCTCTGTCTTGCTTTATGAAATTCAGTAATTCAGATGCATTTGCCATCCAAAAGGCAAGTGCCCCAGCAATATTCTTCTGTTTCTGTAAGTTTAAAGAAGCAAGAAATAATACAGGGAAATAGTTTTCAAATAAAGCATGGCAGCTTAAAAAGACTCCAAAAGATAGACCAGTACCTCTTCCCATTTCACCATACATCTCTCAGATACCAGATATTTGCAAAATGTTTGCATGTAATATTGCAAGTGCTGTAACTAGTGAGTTCAATTTTAACATGTTCACTGAACACACGAACATCTGATAGAATGCCAATAGCCATATCAATAAAGCCACAATGTAAGCATCTAGTGCTAAGAGCTTATCAGAACGCAGTATCTGGTAATCTGTGCACTTTTAAGCGCATATTCACTACTGCCCACTGCCACGCTGATACTGCGCTCACTGGCTGTGATACCAGGTGATTCAGTATCAAGTACTGATCTATCTCACCATCTCCCGACCACAAATGCCAGGCCAGGCAACCTCAGATGAAATCCAAAGAATAGGAACCACAAACAACAAAAAAAGAAAATAAAGGGAAGAAAAAGAACTTTGGTCATTTCATATCCACATTGAAGTGCGTTAAGCAGAAATTATGGAATGCCGTAAAAGTTGCAAAGTCAAAAAAGGATTTTAGTACTGCATGTTCCAGTTGCTGAATGAGTGTTATGAACTGTTCAAGTCCAGCTGTTTGAGTATTGTATTTTGATATGAAAGCAGCATGAGAAACTGAGCTAAGCCAACATAGCTAGGATCAGTTCCCAGCAATATATCCTACCTGATCAACCTGGTCTACCTCCTGGAGAAAAACGGACGAAGGAAATCAAACAGAATAGAAGAAAGAAACTTGTGAACAATCATGAAAGCTTTAGAAATCAAACACTAAATATGAAGGTACAACACATGTTCAGAGTTATACACAGATGCATTAATCAGTAGCTGCGATGCAACTGAGCTCCTTTGAAAAACTTAATTATTTTAATAGGACTAGTAGCACAACAGCTACAAACTGAAGTGCCCACATGTCACAATTCATCCAAGGAATGCTTTATAGTAGCTGACATTCCAAACTAGTTGATTATTCCATGCTCAGTGTGCCACAGAAACCCCCTAGAACTTTTTGCAGGCAATGGGGAAACTAGCCATCTGAGTAACAGATCCAGGGAGCTATTTGCCCACACTGCTGCAATGGAGACAATATACAAACACATACAAAGAGAGACAGAAAACACCTACTAAAAAAAAAAAAAAAACAAAACCAAAAAACCCAACCAACAACACTCAAAAGCAAATAAAATACATAAAACACCTAGGACAGATTTAATACATGGCTTTTCAATTAAAGAACAAAAAGACCATTTTAAACAACAAAAGATTCAAATGAAATACCACACTAAGTTTCTTAATGTCGGTACATATAAAGGTACACTGACTTAAGAGGGGAAAAAAAAAGAACCTAACAGATATGTTTGTCTGATTATCTAAAACTGAGCTCTCAATTATTTTTGGCTTTCTATTCAGATCACTCTCCCTGTAACACAGTGAGTTTAGATGCAAATATTTGAGACAATATTTGCCATTAGTTTTAGTTAGAACTCCAACCCCCAAATTTCTGTTTCTTTTCCCTTTCCAACCAAAGCACTCTGAACTGATTGAAGATGTGTTGGCACAGAACAAAAGGAGATGCTCCTTCTACAAATGAATGTTAAAATTTAAAAAGGATGAAAAATGCCACAGAATGATTGCGGGGAAAAAAAAAATCAGGATACAAAAAATGGCTTTTTAATATAAAGTATCTATTCCTAGTTTTTTATTGAAAGCCCTGAGCCTTCTCATAGATCTCTCCAATTTTATTCCTATCTCAAATCATCTATAATATTTGCATACACTAATAAAGAGGCTACAGAAAGTCACAGATTTAATTTCTTAGCAAGTACTTCTTGAGTAACTTTGTAAAGAGACTTTCTGATCTAGGCAGGTAAAATTAGGATCTAAACGATTTATTTCACTGCCACAGTACAGCACAGGATTTGTACACCTTCTCACTACTTCTGTTTAGGGTGCCTCTCTCCCCTTGCCTCTCATTTGTTTTCTCTCTCACACCCTCATATCATTTTTAGTGCAGGAATGCTTTACAGTCAGACATACAAAAAAGGTATTGTGATATGACTTATTACATGGTAACTTAACTGTGATGCCCATCAATATAACTTATTTTACACCTTAGATGAAGCAATTTGACCTAGCTTAGCTCCTACTGTTTATACTCCACTAAGACATGTCCAAGTTAAAGACATTTTACTGCTCATTATAAGCAATGCATTTCTTTGCCTCCAGCACATTAACCTTGAAACTCACTGAAGTTTTACTTTTTTGTCCTCCATGTGATTTTCCCTCTTTCCTCCAGCTTCTTCAGCATGACATTTGAAAGAACCTCCTCCTAATTTTTATGTAACCTCCGACTCTTTTTGGTTTATTTCTTGCAACTAGGTAACATCTTTCACAAACCACAAATACACTTCCTTGTTGATGTGTTCCTTAAAATTTAGGTTGGATATTAGATTGCAACTGTGGAGTTACAAAGCTGTAGAAATGGCCTTTCACAAAGGACAGTCCAGACAAACACTTGGTTTTAACAGTTTTGTAATAGTATTATCAGGATTATAGAAAATACAGTTGCTTGAAAAACAACCACAAGGCTGCACATGATTTGAGAAGCCCTTCTCAGTGCTGTAAATGAACATTTTCAGAGGATAATCTACTTTCTAGTTTTGATTTGTTTTCAAATCAAACTGATATTTGAGTCCAGCCCTCTAGTATCTTCCTGCAGCTACATGGTTAGTTGTTTAACATAAACAATGGAGAACATTATTTCCGCTTTCCCACTGTACCAACCTCTGTCATTCAAAGTCTTTTTTGGGTCATTGATAGTATAAATTGAGTGACTTTTTTTGAATAAGAACTGTAACTTCCAGTTTATATTTGAAGCCTACCCTTTCTCTGTTTCCATTCTCCCAGCTGAATTGCTTATGTGCAGGTTCTTTCCAGTTCATTTTCTCCACTACAGCCAGTCTCCCCTCTTCCACAACGAGATTTTCCTTTTTTTCTTTTTCATAAAAGAACTTGAATATTTAATTTTTGATACCATTTCAATTTTATCTAATATCCACTGTGACATCAAGATTCAAAGCGACGTACTAGTTCTTCACTTCAGATTCCAACTGCCCTCCACCTTCAGATCAGCTTTGGAACATACACAGAAGACTGACTAATCTTTATTTTCTTATTGCAAAATGTCCTCAACACCGGCATTTTCTCCCATTCTTTCTTGGGGGCCTGTTGTATAAGTTTACAGACCTGTCTAATGATGACGTTCCCCATGCTGAAAACTCCACTCAATCTTTACAAAATGAGAAAAAAAGCTGAACAGTTTTGGTTTGCTGTGACTTGCATGCCACTTCTGTTGTTTACTTTCCTATTCTTCCTTAACCAACCTCTTTTGTAACACTTGCATTGTAAATTCTCTAAGGCAGGACTGACGCATTTGTTATGCTCTTATAGTGTTTAGTGCAGCAGCGTCCTTGCTCTATATAAGCTACTCTGGCAGCACTATTTGCAACAAATACAGCTGCTTGAATAAATACAGAAACATATTTTAATTTCTCCTCTGAGAAAAACCTGCAGACAAAGAAGTTGCAATAATTAATTATTAGAGATACTACCCAAACTAACTCCTTTTTGAGGATATGACCATTTTATCAAGTTACACAATACAAGGTATTGTCTAACTTCACAGACAACCCAGTGGATCTTATCCTGTATTCCTACACTAAAGAGAACTCATTCAGTGCTTCTGTAGAAATCTTGCACATATAGCAGCAATAGTGTTAGACTACATATAAAATGTTGGAACATTTGAGAACTTGTATTTCTATTTATAAACCAATTGTGTCAACTTGGTTCAAAGAGTCCAAGTTTTTATTGCCAGTTTTGTGGTTACAAAAGTTGTGAAAGTAACAAGATCAAAACTAAAGAGTCATGAATCTTTTTAACATGTTCACTTCAAGCGTCAATCAGTGCAAACAACTGCTACCTATATGGTATTCTTTAATAGGCCCATCCAACTTGTTCTACAAGTGTTCACAGCCAGAAATGTTTGCAAAGATCTTACCTTCTAGAGAAAATTGACCTCGTCAGGGAATGTATCTTCAGAGCAACAGCCACTCCCTAACTTCCCACATTGCTCAGGAGAGAGTTTCTTAGCGCTCACATTACTCACTGACATAAAAGCAAACCTCCTTATGGGCAATCAGTGTAGGTATTACAGTTTAACCCACTGTTGTTAAGGGTCAGACTAAGCAAAAGACCAAGTAGTTTGCTAGATTACCAACAACACGTATGTAATTCCCTTGACATATTTTTGCAGAGTAACTCACCTGTATCACTCCTTCCATCATGTTCACCATCTTGTTGACTATTGCAATGACTTTGTGAGTACGCTCAGCAGGAGTGATGTCAGGTCTGTACTGGCTGGACAGTACATACCGACATGTCATATACAACACATACGTAGGTGACAGCTTAAAATGAACTGTCGAGCTATTTGTGTAATTTATAATGGCAGATAAGAAGGCATCTTCAGCTGTAGAAAAAGAGGGAAAAAAAATACATAAAGCCAAAGACAGAAAGACAATTTTCATAACTTGAGGCATAAATGATTTCTTTGGTGGGAGGGAGAGGGGAGACACTCACAGGAATTTGAACTCTTAATTGTCTATTATGTCCTACAGTTACTCAGACATATTAACAACACACTTCTACAGAAAGATAGAATATCTGATCATTGGGAAACATTTCTGTACTATTTTCTATCTCTTTGCTGAGAATTTGCACCTTCAAGGGAACAGGAAAATGCAAGATTTCTCTTGTACATTTTATTCCTGCAAAGCTTGCATACAAAAATAAAAAAAAGTTAAAAATCAGTATTTGCTTGCTTACAGATCTATATTTAGTTTCAAATATTTGGAGTCTGGACAATCTCTGGTATGATATTTTTCTACCAGATCTGATGCCTTAAAAACCTGGGAAGCTAGATAATAAAAATGAAATTCTAAATGAAAATGTTAACCTAATCAAATTTAATATAAAATGGATTTTGACCAAGACATAATCTATTATCCAAGGCATAGAGAACTGTATAGAAGAAAATGAATACTGTTGAGGAGATCAGATTAGAATTTTTTTCACATTTTATTTCAGTATCTGAAGATAAAGAGTTGAAATGCAATTAGAATTAGACACGCATGAACCTGCCTCAATATCTGAAGCATCTGTTCACCCTCCCAATAAAACAAATTAGATTGTTTGATCTAGTTGTCTATCGAGATTGTCTGTCACCTGTACAGACATTATTTTTTTCAATGTTTACTTAAATTACCTGTAAGTTTTCAAACTCACTGAAATATTACAGTACAGAAAAAGGTGTCAACATGGTAGTGTTGTAACTTCACAATTTACTCACAGCTTTCCCTGAATTCAATACTGGCAGGCAGTATCAGTTCTGGTCCATGGGTATCCTGAGATCTAAAGAAAGATGAGAACAATCAAAACAAACAATCCACATAGATGATATGAATTCCACTGTAAAATGACAGATTTCTCCAAATACACTGGTTCCAAATGTTGACACAACATCCTTCCACAAAATGATCCTTTTTTTACCTTTCGTCCAGAATCATTCAAGCTGTATTTGACAGCAACGCAATAGATCAAAATACGGACTTTAACTGTCGAGTCTGTGATATTAATGAACACCCTCTTTTGCACTGCACAGCAGACTTACAGGATCAGTTTGCCATCTGCTATTGACAGGATTCAAATAACAAATTATTCATGGACACATGAAAGAAAGTGAATGAAGCTTTGCCTGGAACATCAGCTTGGTTACAACAAATGTAGTTTGCTGCCTTTAATGCCCTCAAAACTGATGAGGACTTAGTGAACCTATTTGTACTTTTTTCTGGTAAGGAGGAAAAGAAGGTCAAATCTAGCCCCCAGCCTCACCTGGCTGTTGCTACACTACACTAAGAAACAGCAGTCATCGCACGAGCCCCAGAATTACGCTCTCGGTGTAACTGACTGTAGGGTTAGTTCTTACCACTACCCATTAGAGAAATCACAAAGTAGAAAACTGAACAAAATTTGATTTTTCTGGTGTCTGCAAAAGGTGAAGCACTTTTCATAGAATCATGTATTTCATAGAATCATCAAATATACTGAGTTGGAAGTGAACTCACAAGGATCATTGAAGACCAACTCCTGGCCCTGCATAGGACAAGAGTCACATCATGTGCCTGAGAGTATCATCTGAATGCTTCTTGAACTCTGTCAGGCTTGGTGCTGTGACCATTTCCCTGGGGAGCCTGTTCCAGTGCCCAATCCCTCTCTGGGTGAAGAACCTTTTCCTGATATCTAACCTATCATTCCTCCCTAACGTAAAAGCATTAAATGAGTTGTTCTCTGCAGTTGAGCACCTATTTTTTTGGAAATAAGGAAAAGCAGCTTAACATTATCTTCATGCAATAACCATTTTTAAGCACATGTAACACAGGTAGCTTTCAAATACTTTCCCCAGCAACTTTTATAAAGAAATTAATGTAATATAATTATATAAACCTCATTCTCCTGAGTATTATTAGTTATGTTACAAAGCAGAGAGAGGACATTGAAAGCCTTTATTCAGCTGTCTCGTGTAGTAAAAACAAAACAAAACAAATCAAACAAAAAACTTTGAAGGTTGATATTAAAAGATCTAAAATTAAATTTTAGCATATTGAACCAAAAAGTTAGGGGTTTGTGGGGGTTTTGTTTGATTGCTTGCCTTTCTTTTTTAAACTTGCAAAACTTTAAACCAGCAGAGAGAACTCAGTTATGCCATCTAGATAATACCTATATTAAGCAAATACAAGTTCTGAGGAGCTGAAAGTTAAGGAACAGCAGTCACAGTAGGGCAATATGTACACAAATTTCTGCCAGTTCAGTTACATTTCAAACATGACAACATGCTCTCTTTATGAAAAGCACTCATCTGGTGTGTAAATTGTAGTATTTCATCTCTTTTTATTGCTATAAATCTAAAATGAACTAATTTCTAACTATCTCCACACTTTCAAGAATGCATCATCTTCACTGAAAACTTAATTAGTTCTATAAAATACTAATACACAGCATTATAAAGTATTACTATAGTGACAACTCCAGAGAAATTTCTACTCTGTCATTAAAGGAATGGTAATAAGGCATAGAAATATTTTAACAAACTGGTTAGTAAACCAGTGACAGATTGCAGCTGAAGGATTTATTTTATTTTATTTAGAAAAAAATTATATTGATCTCTTTAAGCACAAATGAAGGAACAAGATTCACAGTCGATGGGAGACAACATGTCGAGTGATGAGAGTTGATACGATTAGTTAAGGATTGCTTACAGAAATTTGGAAATCGGCTTTCAGAGACAAGTTAATATGAAGTACTCTTTAAGAAATGTTAATTTAGTTTTACCTGTAAATTAGTTATCTAGGAACAGATGCAGTAACTCAATTATTTAACTACCTTAATAGGAGTTCCCTTCAACTAATCACAGAATCATAAAATGGTTTGGGTTGGAAGGAGACCTTGAAGATCATCTAGTTCCAACCCCCTGTACCATCTTCTGCCTTTGCCTAAGCATACATAAAAGAAATGCCAATTAAGCTTTGCAAATCAGAAATCTAAGTTAAAATAATTCTCTGTGCTTCTGATATGATAGCAGCTGCCCAACCTGCTTTGTTACTGGATACATTTTAAGTATATATTCTCTATGTGCTATTCTTTTATAGATAAAGCCTCTCTATGGTGATGAAATTCTTTGAGCTAAACCAGTCTGAAAGTCTAGTTAGGTTATGTCTGGGAGGGCCATAAAATATTGATTAGGGGTTGCCTTCTCTCTTAGTATAGTATCAGGTAATACTACACTTTAAAATTGCATTAAAAACAGTACATTCTCTAGGTATTTCTGTATTCTCCTAGATTGTCTCTGATAAACTGCATAAAAATGAAAATATTCTTGTGTGATTGTTTTAGCCAGCCTACTAGGTATGTATAAATTTTGTAAAGCATGCTAAAATTAGGAATCGGGTGAGTGTCTGCATTTAGTTAACACCACTTTTCTATCACTATTCTTATTTCCAACCAATCACATCTTTAAGAACTCTTGAAAGGTATCCAAGGCAAAAATGATCTTTTCTGATTTTTATTATATGCTTGCCCATATTAATTGTAGTCAGTTATCTAATGAGCATGTATGACTGCAATCTTTAACTAACCAATCATTATATTTTATTTCCAAGAATCACATTTCAATCAGAACAACTATACCCAATAAGTAAACTGGAGTTATGCTCTCAGTTCTCAATTAATTTGGCATGGCATTAATTTAAACATGGCAGCCAAGTTCTAATCTTTGGTCTTCAACCCGTTCAGTGAAGTTGTAGGAAAAAAAGTCTTATTTGTCTTATTATTCACCTTTGAACAGTAGTGATGAACACACAAAAAGTAGACACATGGGGTAATATGGGGTGGATTAGTTGTACAGCAACAAGAACCTGCAACTGCTCAGTGAAGATTTTTTTTGTTTTTCAAATATAGCAGCTCATGATTACCATCCTTGCAGTTCACAAAATGAGACCAGAGTATCCTAGAGGAAACCTAATTAAAGATCCACAAAATACATCCACAAAAGCGAATAATTCAGTGTACTCGAGCGACACACTGCCTAATTTGCCAAGCCCTAATTTGACACTCTGACTTTGCTAATTTGTTAATCTCAACATAGTGAATCTATCAGAGAAAGAGCACATGATAGAAATGCTGTATTTAGATTAATAACACTGGGATTACACAACACATACTATAGACATGTAAGATATATACAGAAATAAAGTATCAATGCCAGTGCTGGTGATAAAAATTTCTGTGGTTGTAGTTATCACAAATTTAGGTGTGCCTCTGTAAAAATACTTCATGCACAAAGGAACCAAGGTGAAAAAAACTGTAAAGACTAGCAATGAGTACTCTCTTTAGAAAGAATTTAAAAAGTTTTTAAAAATACAACAAAATAAAGCCAAAATGCAGCATACAGATGGCTCTGTGTTTTTGAAATAAAGAACTATAGCACAAGATAATCCTCTTCATAGAAATTTAATAATCTTCACACACATACACAGATCAAGAAATACTAACAGCAGCAGCCTCAAGAACTTCTGAAAGGCTATAAAAAGTTCAGAAAGAAGTTTTGGTCATCTTTTATGAAAGAGGAAAATTACAGTTAAAAATATTAGTAATTCAATAAGGAGGAGTTAAATCTTCAGTAACCTTAATAAAAGCAGTTCTGAAAAAGAATCTCAAAATGCCCAGATACTCTACTAAGAGACTGCAGAGTAGAGCTGAGTTATATTCTACTGCAACTTCACTGAAAGTATTTAAAACATTTTCTTACTACAAAACGCTTGAACATTCAAGTTCAGGCAGAAGCACAATTTTCTGCTCTTTTTTGATTGTAATTTTTTCTACCACTCACATCTCTGAACTCTGTTTTCTGTCTAGTGAAAAATAAACCCATCTAAGGGTACTAAAAGCTTCATACTACAAGCATTACAACTTGAATCACTGCACGTTTTATCCCTGCAGCACATTTACCTTACCTTTCATCCATTTATCATAGCTGTTCATCTAAATTTAAAAGCTGATTTATGTAGACAGCAATACAATCCTGTATTTTTCTAAAGATTTGAAAAAAATTCTGTTCACATAATCACTGATTCACTGAGGTGTGATAGGAACTCTAGAGATTGTTTGGTCCCATTTCCCTGCTCAAAATGGGGTCAACTAGAGCAAGGTGCTCACTACCCTGTCCCCTCAGGTTTTAAGTATATCTTAAAGGACAGAGTCCACACCTGCTGACAACACTGTAGTAGAAATAGCAGTGACCTGGTTATTTCACTCTCCAGAGGAAATCACAACTTCTTGCCACTGGCAAATGAAAATTTCAAATAATTGTACCTTTGTTATTGAAGACATTTCATATGACATGCCTAACCAGAAATCAACAATGATGTGACACAACTGTCAGCCTGACTTCACAAAGAGAACTGCAAATAAAAAAAAAAATAAAGTAATCCTTTGCTTCAGTATTCTGTTAAGTATTTTGACGTTTTTTGCTTTGCTTGTTAATTCTGAGGTTTATTTAGAACAAGATCTCAAAGAAAACCTCATTCTCCATGGGGAAAGCCAGACTGTTTAAAATACTTTAACACACCTCTACTATTATGATGCTTGATCTATTGGAACAACTTATCCATTTTTTTCCATTATGAGAAGCAAGGGGTTACACGTTTCCTACCTGCTTTCCTGTCTGCGATAATCTTGCTGTTCTATTCTAATCATCGGCTTCACCATTCCTCGTTCAGCTGTGCTGGATGCTGATGATGTCCTGTCACCATCAAGCCTGCTGGTGCTCTAATTCAAAACAGCAGGACAGGTGCTTAGCATGCAAACACTGGATTAGCTTGGCATTACTAAAATGAAGTGTCAATTTGAGGCTTGAAAAGAGATGGGAGAACAGAAGAGAGGGGTATGGCACAGCGACCAGCAGCTCAGCAGGTGTTTCCGCCACAATGAAGCACTGCTTGCAATTCAACAGACCACGATGGCCAGAGAGAAGCAGCTCTTTGTTAATGTACGGCAAGAACTTATAATGAAACTTTCAAATGTCTTTAAAAGTTGCAAAGCTATCAATACAAACTGAGTTGGTAATGAAAACTTTAGGTAAGAGACAAAGTTAAACATATTTACTGATTTAAAACTGTCCATGCTCCCCCACCCTGATTCTGCAATAGTTCTAAGTGCTTACACTACTGATCCATAACATAATTTATCCTGATCTTAAGGAAACTCTGATCTGCTAGACAGTACACAGTTTTCCAAGACAAGAAGTGTCAATTCAAACTATGGTTTTTTTTATATATCATTTAATTTATTTTCTTTCAGTGTCCCAAAATCCCGAATAGGAAGCTTTTAATTTTTAATTTCCAATTACATCAAACTCTACCAGGAAGGGGACAAACGCTGCTTTTAGCAGCAAAACGCATAGCAATTATTTTCAGTATAGAGTTGAAAACGAGACATCAGTAAAATATGAAGTGTTTCAACACTTCATAAGAAGTTTCTAGGACTAAATAATTTGCTTTGACATAAGAAAACCTACCAAAAAGTGCATCTCAAAACAAGAGTTTTAGCAAAATATTTTTTTCAGTACTAACATGCCAATCACAGAACCACTTTTCATCACCATATCTCAAAGAACTTTCATTAAAGTTACTGTTACCCATTTTCCAAATGGAAAAGCAAACTTAGAAAAGAGCAACTGTTAGAAAACGAGTGATTCATCAGTGAGTTAACAAGATGACATATACATTCTCAAACAGCACAACTAGAAAATAAAATAAATTTTCCCAATAATCCCTAGGCCCACTAGTATTTTTCTAATGAGTGTGAAAAGGATATGAAGTTGTATCAGAAACTCTTACTCTGAGTTTTAGGACATCTTATGAGTTTACAAATTTCTGGTAGGTATTTCTGGTAGGTAAAGAACACACACAAGATAAAAGAAAGCACTATCACAAAGCTACAAAGAAAGCAGAGAAACTGAATCAAGGCTGTGGCAAGGCAAAAAAAAAAAAAAAGACTAACAAAGATATTCAAAAGCTATCAGACTATTTTTAATACCTACACTGACACATTAATATCGCTAAATATTTACAAGTATTTCAATTTTATGATCGTAGTAATAAAACATAAAAGGAAATGCATTTCTGGAAGGATTAGTACATTTCATACTGCTGAAATAATTCACGCTCTCATTTCATCTGAGGCATGTGATCATAGCCAAGTAAGGCATTAACCATTGTGTCATTTTATTGTGCTCTTGTAAAACGCAATTCTGACACAAAATTTATTAACAGACAGTGCAGAAAGCAAGCCAGAAAACATTACCACCTCATAAAATGTTTATAATTATGACTGCAGAGACAGTTTGTTTAGGCAATGTGTGTACAGGAGCTCTAATGAAGCCTAATGTCACATCCATTAAATTTTAAAAGCCTAGTTAAAGTAAAATTTAACATCCTTTCACATTTTATATAAAACATTTATTTACTCGATCACAGATGACAATAGCCATATGCTACACACACAAGGTAATGATGTATCAGTTTTAATACAGATCTCTACCTGCACGTGTCAGTTTGGGGAGAAACTACTTCAGGTTCAAGGAATTTCCCTTTTTAAAAAATGTTACTATTCTTGACAGAGAATGCATGCCAAATGCCAATACAAATTTAAACAAAAGAGTTTTGTGGAAAAAAAGCCTCAAACAAAAAAAAAATAATGCACATGATACCTGAGCTCATCCACAACAGAAAATGGCCGGGGAGACTGATGAACTGGCCACACTTCCCAAAGTACTACTGATGTTGTAATTTTGATTTAACCTACATATTTTATTATTTAGTCATCATGGATTACCTTGCTTGCTGGTAGTGCTGTTCCACTGTGAACATCTCCCTCCAGATCAAATGTGGTTTCCTGTACAGCTCTAAAAGTAAGATAACATTTAAAGTACATTTTAGAAATTATACTGTTCAACACTTAACAAACAAGGAACAGAGTAGTAAAATTAATAAATTAAAATTCAACCATGAGTCCAGTTAATATTAACTTTTTTTAATACTGTATTGATTCTTTATTAAATTTTATTTTATTAAAAATATTTACACAGATCATTTAATTTGGAAAAACAGCTTCTTAGCTAATTTCACAAAATCACAGAATATGTTGAGTTGGAAGGGACCCACAAGGACCATTGATTCCAACCCCTGGCCCTGCACAGGACCATCCCCAAGAGTCACACCATGTGTCTTGAGAGTATCAAGTGAAAAAATATAAATACACATAAACAAATACACATAAAATACGTTCATGGTCTTGTATTCCCGACAGTAGACTTGCAACAGTTCTTCAGTACTAAATGTACAACATTCTGGATAACGTAAATAATTCATAAATCACACTAATGCATGTTATTATGTTTATTCTAAAGATTTTTAAAAGTATTTAGTTGTTCAAGCTTCAATAGCCTTTTGCTATAGCTCTGCAGTAACGCAGTGCTTTGCAGTTGACTATGTAAACCTGCAAGAGCATTTATTTATTGATCTGCAGGCTAAATGCAGAATGAACTCAGGATTTAAGTAGGAATATTACAGGACAGCTAAATGGCTGGAGGTCTTCCTACAGACAGGTCCTACAGCAAGCATACAGTATCCTTCCAAATGAAAATAAAGTGGAGAAAAAATAATGGTTAAAACAAACACCTATATTAACTCAGCAGATAAGCTTCTTTTCCTAGATACCTTTCCCTCACTCATCTCCAAGCCAATTTGTTTCTTTTCAAAACCACATTATACAATAATGTGTATAGCAGCAAGAGTAGCCTCATTTGGACCCAGAGAAGATGGGAGTTATGTTGGTTTTTTCCCCCGCTATACAAAATGATTTTAAGATTGTTTCTTCTGATTATTTCTATAGCTATTGAAGAAAACACCTGAACCCCTACAAGTCACTAAATCTACAATCAGTATTTTTATTATGCACCTATCAAAAATATGAATATACAGAAAAACAACAGAGTGGACTTCTGGACTGTTAGTCCTTGTGACACAGGAACTAGAACATAAGTAATCACACTGTAAAAAGAGGTTGCTATATTGAGACATTTAGTTCCCTATCTTAACAGTTTCATTTTGTGATTACTTCATTTCCTTCTAGTGGAATTTTAAAAGTTATCTGAGAAAAAACAAAAACCAGGCTCTCTGAAAACATTCAGCAAATTCTTTACTTATCCCAAAGGTTGGATGAATTTTGAAATACATTAAAGTATTTAACATGAGGAAGAGGAGTGAGCATGAGGAAAACTTGTTTGAATACTCCATAATGAAAAGACACTTGCTAATCCTAAATAAAATCACAAGGTGGAGCTCAAGTATTCAAATTATATATTTAACACTTTAAATGAGTTCTGAGTAGTTGCTTTTAAGTTTTTTCCAAGGCTCACCTCCTCACCTCAGTGGGAAGAAAATAAATTTTACTCACCCAGTTTTGTGTCTTGGGCCTTTGACCATAAGACTTGCATCAGTAGGTCTTTTGGAAATAATATGGTCCTGAGTAGGATCCACAAACTTAAATACATGAGATGACCCAAACTGAACCTTCATTCCACTTTGCAGCATGGTGGTTTCTGAAATACGCTGACCTTCCACATAGGTTTCAGCATCAATGCTTCTTGGGGTTACAGTAACAACTCCATCCATGTTAGTGAGGTCACAATGATGAGGCTGAATTCCTGGACCAAATAACTGGGAATAGAATTAATTAACATAGAATAAATTAAATTATACTGCAGCAGAAATTAAAATAAAGAGACTGAGCTGCAGCTTACCCTATTTACAGACTAGTAATTTAACTTTGCTTGCTTACGAATTTCACACAGATGAGTGGTACTATCATCAGTGAGCTTCACTTCATTTTTCATTGCAAGAAGAATAATAAAACACATATTTAACTAACATGTGCAGCAGAAATCCCTTAAAAAGTTTTTCACTTTTTTGGTCATATACTGTTCAGACTGTTTTCTTCCACTTGCTGTTTTGATGTGAAATCTCACAATGCAAGTAATTACAAGTCAATTAACTGCACTGACATGGACCCAGGGTGCTATAAGAGACTCCCTGTTATGAGCTTCACATAAATATTCTTATTTTATACACTTAAGAAATTCTACCTCAAAGGGATTGAGACTAGGACTTGAAAGCCGTTAAGCAATTACAATAACACTGATATGCACCGTTTGACACAGTTATGAAACAGAAACCCCCATTTTGAATAATAAAATCCTTAAATTATAAAGACCTTACTTACCCTACTTAAAATAATAAAACCCTTCTCTTAACACAAGAAAGGAAATAAATTCAGATAGTTATGACCATTAATATGACTAATATAATGAATTCATATGAAATTGCAGCAATATTTTACCGTTCTAGCTTTGAAGAGTATTTATAGCATATTTTACTAGTTCCCACAATTACACATAACACACCAGAGATCAGACCAGTACTGTCATCTGAGTCTGCTTTTTTCCATACCTGAATGGAATTGTCATCAAATTTTTCAGTTCCAACTTCAGTGACACTTAATTGTAGACGATAGAGCTTTGGCTTATCTCTGGAGTCAGAACCATCTGTACAGCAAGTAATAAATATTAATTTGCAAGTTATTAAAGTTCAAATATTCATACAATATTTCTACATTTTTGCAATTTAATTCAGAATAGCAATGTTCACAAAAACACTGAGTGACGTCCTTTCAAGATTTGCTGAGAACTTAGTTGTTCATCATAATGCAAGAACACTGAAAGTAGACAGAGCCTACTTGGAGCAGCTGTTTTCTACAAATGCAAAGAACAAAGTAATCAGGAACTACTATTCTGAACATACTTTGAAAAACCTTCTCTATGTCCTAGTAGTTTGAACAATACAATTTTTGTTAAACTCTAAAGTTTTATATGGGTATACCAGAATGGGTTTAAAGATCAGGAAAATAAAATTACCTGCAGATCTCTATAATAATAGAATTTATTGACCTTACTGAAGTACAGATTATCAGTAATATCTACTGTCAAGTGGTCCACATAACAAACTCTTTCCAATTCATCAGATACTGGAACTAGACCAATATTAAAAGAGAATCTTACGTAATGTTTACTTACAACAGCTTTAGTCTTAATATATAGGACTTTAGCACTTCTGGCCTTATCTTTATAGTCCCATTGACCTATATTTTCATCTCACAGAAAATGAGGTAAACAATAAAGTTCGTCTTCCTACTCCCCCCAGAAGTACATACTGTCCAAGTAGAATAAAATTTCACAAGATACATTGGACATAAAGTGTACATGATTTTAGTTAGTGCCTTCATAGGTTAATACAACGGGTTTTGGCGTACATATAAATGCTCCCTGCTTCCCAGAAAATCCTACAACTTTAAATACTATCAGCTATTGAAGTAATACTGTCACTTCTGACTTCTCTCCAATCTGTTCTCCAAAGCAAAGATGTAAAAAAAGGGAGGCTGCAAGACAAAAAATGTCTTACCTGTGGATATGAACAATGACTTCAAGTCATCCCCCAAAAAGCATTAGAGAATATTATTAAAGGCATGGCACATACAGTGACATTGTCTGCGGTAGGATACTAGTCATCTTCAAGTCTTTAAATGAAAGTCAATATAAACAAAACCTCCATAAATCCAGCAGCAGAATCCCAGCTTTACTACCAGGATCTGTTTATTAAAATCAGAATGCAAGTCATTTAACCATAAAATGGTAGTAGTAAGCTTCTCCTGGGGTTGTTGGGATGCTATTAGGACATAAAGACACCAGGCACAGATAGTCCATAGACTGGTACTGTAAATACGAAAGTGAAGTGCTGATACTACAGTAATATCCAGTTACTGAACACAGAATCACTGCCATTACATTAGTATGTCACCCATCACAAAAGAAGCATTAATCATAAGAGTACTCCCTCCTCTAAACATTTTTCAGGTACAGGGATAAGCCTTTTATTAAAACCTTGTATTTGAGTCTAGAGAGGCATACATTTAATATCACTGTACCCCAAAAAAGGTAATGATAATGCAGTATCTTCAGCAATTTGAATTATGTGTAGTTTTTAATACTTAACAATGTTAAATCAGAAATTATATGTGGTTGCATCTTCAATGTCACCAAAAGCAGACATGTAATAGGTCACTGAATACATTTGGCTGCTTATACCAAATTCCATGAATTTTTATTATGTCTCCTCACAGCTTACACCCCAAAACTTAAAGTAACTTCTTTCACTTATTTATGATTCCAGAAATCAAGCATTTCTTCCTCCTACCCACATCCTAGTTTGGTAAATCTGGCACCCAAAAGATACAAGATTAAGTTTGGAGGAAGGGACCTTTATTCAACAAGCAAAAATACTGGAATTTCAAAAAAGTCAATGGCATAAAAGTCAGGGCTAGTTATCTAGGGGTTTTGTACTTAATTTCTTATGGTACTTTCTCCTAAGTTCTTTATATACAGATTAGAGAATAGGCTTTACAGTCTAGTGATTTCCCCTATACTAAACATACTTCCCACTGCCCCCTGCTTCTTCATTTCTGACACTTTAAAAAGAAAAAAACACCACCTTTAAAATATTCCTATATATTTCTGCAAGATACATTATAAAATATTGTTTTCAAGTGTTTATTTAAGAGAACTTCTTGATCTCATTCCCGAGTTCAGCACTTGTGACTAATCAATCAGTATCAAGTTCTACTAACGTTTACATCACACCACTGTATATCCTCAATATAGATTATATCACAAAAAATGTGCTTTCATATATGAAATATATTTTAGTATCACAGCGTTTCTGCTGAGGCATATTAAGACTCTTGTTTCTATGCAGTATCCATTGTAACATGAAAAAAACTTGGTTTAGAACAATACTAGATACAAATGATATTTTTAATTCCTACAAAAACGATAAAGATTTAAGGAGTTACTCAAAAGTTATTTAGAACACACATGTAATACTCCACCCAGTAAAAGCCAATTTCTACAGTAAAAGGTCCCTTAATCTTGAAGATAATTACTGTAAATTCCATAAAAGGATAAAAGGCCTTTTTGTTCTAGGGGAGAGATGCAGGAGGGAAGGAAGGTTGCATTATACTACAGTGTAAAGTGTTTGATTCCCTGTTTTTCAACAGCTGAAAGCTCACCTAAATGTTGTTTGGAATGTATCCCTCATAACTCACTGCAGCGGGACACAGATTCTGCCACACCTATGGCAAAGACCCTACCCCCAAAACATGACAGTCCACTAAGGCGGTTCTTAGCTACGGATGATAGATTTCATGACTTGGTTTATGCAGTTACGAGTCAACATTCATACTTCAAATAGTAGTGTTACAAAATACTGTGTAGTGAAGTGAATAGTCACTGTAAGCACATCAACTCAGTGATTCAAAACACAAATGTATATTTTTTGAACAACAGAAAAAACTAAGGCTGACCTTCATGGATATATATTTTAAACATGTTACTTCACCACTAAAAGGTGAGCCCTACACTACTCTGGAAATTATAATTTCAATTGATTTCACTAATCTAATGCCTGAAACAATGCCAGGAAATAGTACGGACTTAAAACCAGACCAAACCAAATGATGAAGATCAGATCATAGAAAACAAGTAAGCCCAAAGCTGAACAAAAATGGTCACACAATGGACTTCACCTACTGAGTTTAAATTAGTTAAACATACATTTGAAAAGCAAATTTCCTGCACAAGTTCCTCAGTATTAAGAGTTTAAACCCTAATAAGTTCAGGAGATGGTTGGGCAGATTTGAAACGCCATGTGAAATTCAGGAGATAATTCTGCTATTAAATTTCCAACACGATGTGCACTTCCAGCAGAAAAAGCCAATGGAAAACCTTTTTATAAACTGTTCTCCTAATAGGGAACAAAATTCTTTCAAACTAATTGTAAAAGTGTTACACATATACTGCAGTTCTGTTCTCAGAAAGAAGGCTGGCTGAAAGCCAAGGCTTTCAAACCTTTCCAACCTTCTGCAATTCTTCTTTCTGAGTTGTTATACCTGCATGTCCTCCGCATCTTCCATTGCGATGTATTTTACAGCTCAGGTTGCTCTTTTTGTGATGAAGCATGGAGAAAAGCCTTATGGCTTTGCCTTTTTTTTTTTTAATGCTTTGTAATTTTGATTTCAGGTTTGTAAGATCTCAGGGACTCACATCCTGAAAAAATGTGGTTTTGTCATTTTCCTCAGCCTTTAAATATTAGGATTGAATAACTGAAGTTAATAACATCCCTGAACTCATCAGCAACCACATTCACAGATAACAGACAGTATCAGCTATTCAAAGTGCTGCCAAATCTCACTTCAGTCTATCCAGTCTATTTCTATTACTATCAGATTCATCTCAGTTTATTGGTTCATTTCATGACTTGGATACAGAGACAATTGCTCACTGCCACATTTAGAGCCACAAGCTACTGAAGTGCATCTTCTAGCATCCAGAATCCAATCTTCAGTCAATGAAACAGTCATACAACCAGCAACATCAGCAGCTGTGGAGAAGTGGAAAAACTGGACAAACTTCAGTAGCAAACTTACTGAATTTGTACAATTGCACAATTGCACAAAGCATGAGTCTGCTAGGTTCCTCTGCAAGAATATAGACAGTCAACGTTTTGACAGGAGGACATTTCTACAGGAGTTATTTCTATAATAAATACAAATATCCTGAAGTGCTTTGTTCCAAAGAGACACACTGGACTCTAGAATACGAAGATCTCTTTTTCACACTCTAAGATTTAAGAAACTGTCTTTTTTTTTTTTTTCCAGTGAGACACAATCAAATTTCAAGCTTTCTACTTAATGTTCAAGTGTTCCTACAGAGCCCATCCATGCTTTTTAGTTCAGCACACTCTACAAAACTCTTCTACTCTCTGGAATAATGACGTTAATGAAACGAAAGTCTGGATTCAATTCCAAGAATTGAGCACTGGAGGCATAGGTCTGAATAGAGTTCTTTAAACCCCAGTATTGTACTCCACAACCATGAAAGAAAGGGTGAGCAACATGGGCTACTACATGTAGTACTTTTACAGCAGTCTAGAAAACAAAATGAGGAAACTGAGAATAAAAAAAGTAAGAAAAGGAAAAGGTATTTTGGTAAGACATTTCACAATGAAGAAAGTTGCTTTGTATTCTCATCTGTTTGGCCAAACCAGGATGTATCAGCACATTACTCTAAACTCTACAGAGAATCAAGGATGCATAATGATTTGTAGGTTAGGTTATCAATTTCAAATACTGCAGATAAAACTGAACAAGACTCTACAGTCTAACATGGCTAAATCCTTGATACACACCACTTACGTTAGGCAACAACACAAACCAGGCAACAGAAATACCAAAGGATGCTATGGAACACCACGGAGTAAAAAGTAAGGTCACTTTACCAGTGGTCCAAACTATTTCACACAAAAATCACAGATTCCATCCACTGCATCAATGCAGTCAAACAGTGGAAAGCATGGTTAAGTTCTATGCCGTTTACCCAATACACTTTTTAACTATGAATTCTGCAGGCAGATGGATCAAAGAACTTTTTATTTCTACCATAAAATTGCTTGCTTTTAAACCACCCTATGAAACTTAGCTGTTAATCGTAGATGGAACACTGAACTCTTTGGATGATAGCATATTCATGACAAATTTGACGCTTGTTCACAGATCAAATAATTAAAAGGTAGCTAACAAGACAGGTAACTACTTCACCAAAGCAGTCCATTGGAAAAAAAAAAAAGCCAAAGATAAACAAGATAGCCTTTCATTTGTCAAAAAGAAACACGAGATTTACAGCCAGCGAAGTTTTTAGTGACTAATGAGAGAACAGTATTAAATACAGCGTTACCTTCGTAAGCGTGATAGTTGTAGTAGGCAAAGTGATTCCTTCTCCCTGGGGTTAGAAACACATGCAGAGGACCCAGGTGAAGGCAGCACCAGCAGGACAGATACCATGCAGAACATGCGGAGGAGGGCAAGAAAAGAAAAGACAGGAAAGGGTGAAACCGTAGCCAGACAACACTTATTCATTTTATAAGGATGAAGTGCATTAAACTCTTTCAACTTCAGAAACTGGGTAGAACATAAAGACATCAGTACTACAAAGCTACCGAATGAAACAATCCTTATTGTTTAGAAAAGGGACAACAAGCTGTTAGAAGAAAACCATGAACAACAGGTCAGTCCCAGAGGCAATGTGTGAAGGCTTAGTACACAGCGCTGACACCTGTGGCACTTCAGATTGTTTTTCCTCCCTCAGTTCATGGATGTCTTGCTCCACTGCCCAAGCACAACATTTAATACTGTGTTCCATGAAGAGTTCAGAGCACAAGTAATCAAAAGTACTATTAAAAGAATCCAAAATATTAATATGCAAACCAAACCTCACCATATAGAAGAGAATAATAAATTTAATATATTCTGTGCACTGTTAATTTCATCTGGATTAAAAAACCCAACCAAACAAAAACCCCACAAAATCCCACACTATTTGACTATGAATTTAACCTTTTGTTTGCAGTTCTGATCAAAGGTTTTAGCACCAATTTCCAAACTTGCTCCTCAAAAGGTAAACAACCGCACTTCAAACTGTAACATTTGCTCGAATATCTGAGTGTACCCAAGTGACATTTAACAGGAAAAAGAGCTGTATATAACTAAATCATCAAAAATGAAAGTCCATATCCAAATTTTTAAACATGAAGACAATATCAATTAAGAGCACATGTTATGTATGTTGTATCTCTCCTGGCTGTTCCTAGATCATAAAATTAACTGTAAATTACAACGCAACCCAGAGAGTTGTAACGATGCCAAAATAAAACTCAGCCTTGCCAGTGATTTGAAGGTTCCATATAGACTGAAAAATGTTTAACATTTAAGTTTGATTTAAAAATTCATGTTCTTGTCCTGTTAAAAAAACGTTATTTTCCATGCAGAGTACTGTCAAATTCCAGGTATGCTACAGTGTACTTGTGAATGTAAAACAAATCAGATTTGAGCAGTGCTCTTCTGGTTTCCCATAATATGACATGTTAAACTATTTTACTTATAACCAAGTTTTAAAGCCCAAAATCCAAAGAAAGCTGAAGATTCAATGATTTTTTTATTTTGTTTTCAAAACACTGAAAGCTTCATACTTGCAATCATACTAATAGAGACAAAGTCTTACGAAATAATTTCTCCTCTTCTTGCACTCCAAAAAATTGCTGCTAAAATTTTGATATTACAGAAATATTCAGCTCTACCTTTAGACAGCACCAGTTCAGGGTCTGGCATCAGAAGAACAACTCATGTGGCATTCACCTACACTGCCCACAGACTTCCCTGTCCTTACAATGAAAGTCTTACTTCTGGAAAATCCAAATGACCATGTAATAATGTAATTTAGACTGTTAGACAATCAGAATTCTTACCTGGGCTTAATTCCACCAGGTACGGTAGTTTCTCAGGAGGAAGACAAGAGCCATAGCCAGACCCGTCAACTCTTTCCTTCCCCTTTAATGGCTTTCCTTCAGTTATTTTCCTGGTTTTCTTTGGGACATAATCAGGAGGCCGCCTTTTCAACTGAAAGACTAGTAGTCCTAAAACACAGTATTATACATCCTTTGAGTCACACTATCAGTGAACAAACACACAACCAATATCTATTAATTTTCGTGTTCTATAGGATTACTTTTAGCTTACTAAATTTCTGACACTTCTTCAAAATAGTTTTAACTTAGAAATAAGTACACCTTTGTAGAAACTTTAGGATAAAATGTAAATTCTTTCTGGTACCTAAAGATGTAATACTACAAACAGTGCATAATGAAATAGTAAATAACTCTAATGCTCCCTAACATTAAAGGTACCCAAAAGCAAAACATACTAAAATATATGTTAGAATTTCTTACTTTACAGGGGGTCCACAGCACGGACCCAAGGCGCAAAAATCTCTTTAAGCTTTTTGGACATACCTTTATCACTAGGCCACTCCCTGAAGATCTGCAGCGGACACTCATCATCATCAAGAATAGTTTCTTTAGCACCTTTATCATCAGAGTGCTGAGCACCAGGAGGCAGCATGACCTAGAAAAGAATTGTCAGTTTTCAGAGCTGTTAGTGGATAATTAGAACAGAGTATTCAGGGGTATATCCTCTGATTACTTTTTTTTGCATGTGAGAGATAAGGCCAAAGAATTCAGTAACTTGAAATGTATTTTGCTTTCCAAGACTTTTTCTAACTCTCCTTTCTGACCTCCTGCTACAGTTAAATCACGCTTCCCAGAACACCAGATATATTTAAAAAGCAAAGAAAAGCAAGTTACACTTAAGGCAGATAAGATCTTTCTTCTAGTAAAAAAGTATTACTCCAATAACTCAACAGCCAAGGCAAAAAAAAAAAAAAATCTGTGGAGATGACAGTTATAAAACTGAAGTTTCCTTTATTATTTCGCACATTGGAATCAGCCTTGCATTTTGCTAATGCCATTCTGCTAATGCAACACAAGTATCTTCAGAAATGACACCACGAGCTGGCAAAGACAGTGTCATCTCCTGACTCCTTGTCTTACCCAAAATTTACCTGGTCTACACAGAGACTAAGGGTACAACTGGAACATTTCACACAAGTGCTTCATGCTGTCTAGCTCTAAGGAAGAAACAAAACTAAGTATACTTTTGGAACAGAACTATGGACTATTCAGACCTTTTACAGCTATACCCTTGCAAAGCAGAGGAAGGGGGAAACCTTGATTCATGAAGTCTGACTCTGAAGGAGATTTCATGCATTACTGCTCCCCACAGCGATCAAGCACAAATAACAATGACAGGAAGTATTACAGTGCATGAGTACCTTCTAAGTTAGACAGACCTTTCAAAGCTGAATCAAAAAATAAAATGTATTTTACTCCCTCATTTGTAATCCTAACAATGTTATTTAAATTCATAGACAATTCTACTTTAAACAAACTGCTTTAAATTATCCCCCTCTCTGAACTATGACCAAGGTAACACCTTCAGAAGTGATGCAGCTATTGGCTACAGCACCCAACTACGCTGCAGCCCTCGAGAGGCTTTCCACTCATTTGTTGCCTCTTCTCCACACCCATTTCTGCGTTAACCAAGTTCTCACAGATCCACCTCAAACATCCTTTCATCTTCTTCCAAGCAGGAAACAAGTACATTTAAGATCAAAAGTATGTAATCCCTAAAACATTTTCTATGCAAAACCTGGTTAAACATAGGACTAATTAAATTATCTTTAATTAGATTTTCAAATAGATAAGATATTATAAAGGGAGGAAAACATTAAAATGTATAAACCAGAGGGAAACAGAAACACATCTACATTCAAATCTTATCTTGTTAAACCGCTCTATTTCACATCTCATATTTTAAAATCAATTATACCTACAGGATAATTTTGATTATCTAATTAAGGTAACACTGTATTTAAGGCCTTATTCAACAAGCCACAATTTTTAAATTCCAAAGCCCTTGAGACAGAAGGTAACTAGTTAAAAAACAAGAAATACATGCTGCAGCATGTGTACCAGGGGCTGACCAATACTGGACTAAGGAGCAAACCAAAGAAAACCCAAATGGAGTGAAATCAGAGGAACAGAGAAGCTATCAGTGCACAGGTGCTACTAATTTAACCTGATATTACTTCTGCCGTGGAACTTGGATAAGCATCTGTTCTTGGTGTCGGGTTTAAGGGCACCAATGGTAAACTAGACAAGCTAGAGAAGAGGGGTCACAAAAGCACTGATCCCCTCATCCTCCCAGCCAGTTACCATTCCTCTCCTCTCCCAGGAAGAGCCGAAAACACAGACATATCTCACTTTAAAAAGCGTGTGACCTAACCTGAAGAAAGATACAAAACACCACATCTGAGCTTATTAAGGCTAGGTCATTTCTGATTGTTACGATGCCTTTTCAGAAAACATCTGTGTTTTAGGTGAATGCTGTCACCACAAAGCTGAAATTCCTACATTTTAGAATAACGGAAAAACACAGGAATAAGTCTATATTATGACTGAGTTTTGGCTCATGGGCAGAGATTTGCTTTAATTTTAAAAACAGATGCACTTAAATATCCTTTCATGAATTTGCATCCATACAGACTGCTGAGATGAGGCATAGACACTTCTCTGACTTCTGCAACTGCACAGCAAATACAGGTGGGTAAAACCAGCTTAAGATCATATCTCTTGGAAGCAGGTTGTCAGCTGACAACCTATGAACTGAAACAAATGCGAAACAGGGAATTAGGAAGAATACACTGTGCTTTGTCGTAAGGGCATTCATGAGCATATATAAATTATCATAAAGTCATTCAATTCTGTATCTATTAATTTAAAATGCAGTGAAACAGGCAGAAAATACAAGCTAAGAAATGTAAATGAAGACCACAGCAACTTCAGACTTAATTTCCAAAGCATTTGCTGGAATAAAAAAGAGAAGATAATTCTCAAATACTTACTGTGGTTAAGCAATATATACAGATCAAGTTATCAGATCTGTCCTTAGCAGAAGTCTCACACAAGAAAATCCCATGCTATAATAGGTCTTTAATAAGCTCTTCTGTAATTTTAATGTTTTTTTAAGTAAAAACCTCATATCTACAGTATATTTGAATATATCTGCTTATTATAAATAATTAATCCTCAATTTTCCTTACAAGCTGGGAACACAGGCTCTGCACATGCCCCTAGTGAAAAGAAAACAAAATCCAAAGCAAAACATAAAAAACCAATAAAACAACCCGCAAAAAAACTCTCAATGAATCTTGCTAAAAATATTTAATGCCTTATGTCTGTAATGACTATTTCTTAAAAAAAAAAAAAAAGAAAAAGAAAAACCTACTCACCATGAACTGCATCTTTTTGCTTGACATTACAAAAAGTTATTTATGTCTTACCCTCAAGTAAAAAAATAAGTGCATGCTAAATCAGAAATCTGATCCAGACTCTACTTTTGCAAATTAACTAGTTCGCTGCACGCCTGAAGTCTTATGCCCTAAGTGAATATGCACAGGTAGCTTGGAAGACTGTCTAATTAATCTGACATCTTCAGAGATGTGCAGTGAACCCCATATTACTCAGGGAAACTCCAACCAAGCAAACTGAAACAAGTAAAACACACATTGGAACAAATGCATGTTTACTTGCTGACATAGAAAAGCACTTCAGTAGCAGGGACAAAGGTACAGCCAATACACTGCAAACTGGCATATGAAAGCAAGCAACTGACAGGAGAATGACATTTACAACAGAAGTTGTCAATGGCGTTACAAAAAATTCTTACAATATTTATCTTTCCTGAAACTTCAGGAGTGAGTTATGCAACCTTATAGTAGTCTTGTCCTACAACTTAAAATCCATCTTTATAGTTAAGTAAATGTCAACAGTTAAAGTCTTCTTTGAAGACACTTTATCTGCCACTCAAAGAAAACAAAACATTTAAAAATCACAACCAGTACGAAATTGAAGTTATATGTTCCACTATGCATAGTTAAATTCAACATATGTTAAGAATAGGAACATGTATAGGATTTGACTTCCACAGAAAACTGTAACATCAGAAGAACAAGGGGAAAAGCCCTACCAAGGGTAAACAGCTATGAGACTTCCATATAAAAGGAGTACCAATGGCCATTGGACTAATTTAGCAGTGTATTTGTGAGTTTCCAAAAAGGGAGAACAGTGATTAAAGACACATCAAACTAATGCTAGGGTATTTTAAAGTTTCAAGCAAGGAAAGTAACTTCATAAAACATTGGGGAAAAAAGCAGATTTTACAAGTTAGATTTAAAATACTCTATTCATAAAAGAAGGATTAACATTTTAAAACCCAACACTTTATCAGAAGAGCACTGAGAAAGGCCAAGCAGATTTTACCAACTCCAATGACTTATGGGGAGCAAAACAAAGGTTTCATATACTTAAGAGTTATAAAAAAAGTCTGCTATTACTCAGTGAAGACTACTCATATTCCAAACGTAAATGTAAGCGCACAACTTACGTCAGTACTGAAACTTACTGTATGAATAAGATGCATTGCTCAGAAAAGACAAAATATTTTCCAGAAGTGCTTTCCAAAAAAATCACTTTGTTTCACAGCTAAGACATTGTTAACCTATCCCAAGATTAAAACAACATTCTCCAGACTATTTTCTATATTAAACATCCCCACAAAAGATCAGAAAATAAGAGGAGGTAACAGGGAACACCACCACTACAACAAGAGTAACTTGCAATAGTTTCCTGGGTAAGTGTGCAATCAGTTCAATAAATTCCCTCATACACAAATATTTTGTAATACATCATGATGTCCTCTAACTCTGAACTAAACAGACTGAAGCAAAGCTATCTTCCAAATTCAGTCACAGTGTCTCTGCTGTGATTCTTTCAAACCAGCAGAGAAACTGGAATGTCAATTCAGTAACCTGTTTAATAAGATTAATGACTGAGAATCATGAATTGCATTTATGGATCCCACAGTATGAAGATAATTGTCATAATTAAAACTACACATACTCTGCAGCCAAAACTGAGAATCAATTTTTAATATAATGTGTCATTGAAAGAATCTATTACTTACAGAAGTATTTCCCTCTAAAATAAGAACCTATGTAAACTTTTACTGTAAGTAAAATGAACTTTCATAGTTGGAACCCTCATTACAGGATAATGAAGACAAGGATAAAATGTCGAGAACTTCATTAAAACTATGCCTAGAATGAAGATAAAACAGTTGAAAAAATGAAAACTAACATTAGTTCACTGCTACAAAACTATTACACCACTACTATCACAGTTTCCTTATTCCTAATATTAGAGTAACATATCAATTCCCAGTTAATTATACCACTACAGACTGGAAGCACAGCAGACACTAAGGTTACTCAAAGATATCATAAAAAGCAAATCAGAAAAGAACTTTTAGATCAAACATATATCCACATCCTTTAGAGCAGCTACAAAGTGCAGAGAATAGCACTTACTGCTTTCTTACTGCTTACCAGCGGCACTTTAAGCACTGGAGGAGGGGCAGGGAAAGAGAGCACAATATTATGAGAGACAAACTTTTTTCCCATTCTTTCATCATATTAAGGAGCAATAAATACACATTTATTAGACAAGTCATAGCCAAAAATGTAATCAAGATTGGACTCAAACAAGGATCAAATGTTTTCAAGTCTCACTATTCTCCTTGAGAAGATGACATGGTCAGAAGTTTGTAACCTTTAATCAGTACTGCCCATGGGACTTTTTGATTAAAGCCATATCTCTAAGAAATAACAATTCTACACAATTCATTTGGGACTCCTAAAATAATTAAATTCTGAAAACAAGCCTAAGTTTCACTTAAACGTTTAATCTTTTCTGATTTGTAATGATGGTAAGTTACTGCTGAAAGCTATAAGGCAACAGTATACAATATACACCTTTTACAATGGAGCTCGCCTCAGCACTTCTGCTTCTGAATGGATGCTCACTCTTAGTTCAGGGAAATAGTTTTATGCACAAATTTTATGTATCCACAGGACCAACTATTAGTTTATACATGTGTGAATCATAAGCACACCTAGTGGTATAAAACCGCAGTGCCAAGTGCAGAAACATGTTACTTTCAGTATTAACATTTATCTATATAGCAAGGAATAATTTAGTAAGATTGGAAGACTTGGGTTTAAAACCAAAAAACTTGAAAGGTCACCTGAGAATTCCTGAGGTTGCTAGATTTAAGAAAAAAAAAAAACAACCCTTAGTCACTGAACTAACAGTAATTCCATTTAATTTGGAAGCAGGGAAAAAAACCCCAAACAGATATGAAACATGAGAAGATTGTGTCTTAGTACGTTCACTTACACGAGCAATACAATAATCCTTGGGATTTTCTTTTTCCAGACCATATTTTTCCAGTGCTTCAATAACTGCAAAGTCTGCAGTATCTGTAGTGGACAGCAGAATTGTCTTGTATGGTATATTTGGTTTTAAACTGTCTGCATAAATTCTCAGTGTTCCACCTTGGAAACAAAATGGAATTAACAATGTTACCAGAGAATAAAAAGACAGACAAGCAGTCATTCATTCTTTATCTTTCTGACAGAATGTAAGAATGAACCCCTTCAGAAATCATTTTGTCAATCCGCTAATACAAGAAAAGTTACATAACATCCTCAAAATAAATTTATCACTGCCACTGGTAAAAAACTCCAGTGATACTTCCCTAATTTATGTAATCAAGTCTTCTTCCCAGTGTTTCACCATGCTTGGTATTACCTGAAGTTAAAATGAAACGGCTGAATGGCAATGGCTGAAGAACAGACCTTTCCCATCTTGACAGGAAGTTTGTTGTGACCTTCAAGAATCTCCTGTCTCTTTAAAAAGCTCATTTAAGATTTCCCCCAGATGATGTTTTCTACACCCCTAACTCTTTCTTCACTGCCCTTCCATGGACAGAATACAGCATTTGAGGTTTTATCAGTACTAACACTGCTTAATTTGTTCCTTTCTAATGATGTTTATACAACCACCACTGTTGCATCCCCACCCCATGAATGTAAAATACTTATTCACTGTTATTCACAAGATCTACCAGAATCCTTTGTGCAGACCCTAACAATCAGTCCTTTACACCCTTTATTTGTGCTACTGATTGCATTTTCACTTTCAGGTCATTCAACTTGTTGTTAGTATAATAAAAGACAATTATTTCAGAAGGCCTCCTCTGTTTCTCAGAGTCCATCCTTCCTTCTTTCCCACTTCAGCACTGCTAGCAAGATCAATGAGTATACTCTCTCCCACCAATTTGCCCATGACTGAAAGCTTTGACTGGCATTCATCACAAAACACACTCCTGCAGAATCCTACCTTTACAAATCCTGCATTCAGTTACACCACTGATAAATTAGCCACGTACAAAAAATGTTGCAGAAAGCAAAAGTTAAGTCAAATTTACAGGGGTTGCTGGCCTTCAGAATATTCTCTCGGTAAACAGTTTACTGTTTATAACTTAACCACAAGAAATCCAAGTACCTGAGTCTGGTCTGCCATCGGAACTGCGAAATTCCTGCATTCTCTTCTCTAGTTTTTGCTGTCGCCGCCGTTTCATAACCACCTCAGGATTGGATATTGTGCGAGTGAAGCTGGTTTCAGGCATATCTTTGTAAACCTCAGCTGCAAGGCGAAAATTCTCACTGCCAAGTTAGTTTAGATAAAAATTAAAAATTGTCATTAACAGCTTAAAACACATATATTCTCATTACTTCACAAAGGATAGAAGGCCAGTAGGATCCATACACATAGGAGCCTCAGTTAAGTTATCAGAAGATGGTTTCTATGTGAATTTCACTTTTGCCAGGGTTAACACTGTTCATGTACCCATGTTCACGTGAAATAAATAACCAATTTAAATATTGATAGTTGCTAGTTTTCAAAGAAAGAAGAGGCCTTCTACCTCTTAAAGATGGGGCGGGGAGAAAGGCATTAAAGAAACTCTACATTTTACCCCTAACCTTATTATGATTTACAATACTGCAAAGCACATGGAAGCTGAGTTAGCATGTGCTTGCAACTTGTGCTTTTTCTTTTGCTAATGCACTTAAATACAACTACAATTTAATTTTAAAAATATAAGTTTAAACCACTTACATATCATCCCCATGAAGAAGTCTATCATCTTTATCTGATGCTTGCCGCAATGCCTCTTTTTCACGCCTCTTCTTCTCTTTTTTTTCCTTTTTCGAAAGAGTTCGCTTGAAATTCTGAATTACTCCCTCCTTTTCTTGCTTTTCAGGGCCATTACTCTGAGCTTTCTGAAATAAATGAGTTTAAGACAACTTTCATCAATTTTAGTCCAATGAAAAGTTAGTATTGGTTTTAACTTCCCAGAAGAATCTGATTAAGACGTATTATCACAAACACAGAAACAATACCCCAGGCAACAGTACTCCATTACACAGTGATGGGACTAATACTCTTGAGAATAACATAGAGAAGGCAAATACAACATCATGTTCCAAAGCAGGTATGAACTGATTCTACTCGAGAAAGTAAAGCAGCAGCAGAATTTTACTTGAATAATGCCTGCTATCTATTTGGTCTCAAAAGATTAACTGAAGGCTGTAAAACATATTTCTGCCTCCCAGTAAAAATACTTCATAACAACACTGTGATTAATCTGCTTTCAAGACACCTGTGTCGGAATGCCACATCAGAATAAACTGCAGAAGGAAAAATATTACAGAGGACTTTTCCCCTATGGTATGTTTTTCTGAGTTGTCTTTCCAGTGTTCTCTAATTCCTGTTCCTTGCATAGACAAGATACCTGTAATCCTTGGCTCATTTGCCTTTTGTAGACAGAGTACATTAAAGAGCACGAGAGAAAGAAGACATAAATTTTCCTGCTTCTATCAGGAAGTGAAGAACACAGAGAAGGAAGACTGAAGACCATTTAATTCAATGAATAGGAATAGCAACATTGGTACGTGTCGTGCAAGACATCATTAACTCCCCACTAGTAACACGAACGTATCCTGTAGCCAAAAATCTAGTACAAGCTCATGTACCCAAAGCACTTTTAAAATTAACAAGCTCTAATTTCAAGAGCAACAGATTTAGTGCTCAGCCCAAGATGAAAAACTTGCCTTAAGATAGCCCACACTGAACAGCATGTTTTCCATAGCTATAAGCATTCAAGCTACCTAAAATATATATAATTACATGACTTCAGAAGCCAAAGTCTGATCTAATTTATTGTTTAAATTACTAATATCAAAGGAAACTTTTGTATGGCTGATGTTGGCAGGTCTTCCATTTGGAAGAGAAAAAAAATCCAACAAACAAAAAACCTCCCTACAAACAACAACAACAAAATCATCCACAAAAGGAAACAGTCTCCCATCAGTTTTTTCACAAAACAGATTGTTACCTAGGGAGGTAACAATTTTTTTAGTTATTTAACTCCCTCTGGTCTCCCCCTTTAAAGGTTTCGCAAGAGGCAGGATAGGTATCATATCCTATTTGAGAAAATTTTAAAGTTTAAGTGTCTAAGTTCCCTGGGCATTACATGCTCCAATACATGGATCACAGTATCACAAGCCATCTGAAAGATCACAAAAATGCTGTGTTGCAAAGATGCATTTTAAGTATTTAAAAATATTTACTCCTCATACTAAAGGTTGTCAGCAGCAGTTGTTTTCAGGAATTAAAAAGTAGAAATTACGTTTTGCTATATAAGCAAGTCCCACACATTTCAAAACTGCCATTACCACTAGCATGCTCTGTAAAGACTCACCTTTGGAGGAAGTGTATCGTTTTCATTCTTGAGGACAAACCTTCCCTCTCGATCGTCTTTGTTCCAGTTTAATTGTACAACAAGAGGCTTCTCATCTACATCTAATCTTCTTTCTTCTTCAAAAAAACCCAAAAAGCATTAGCAGTTACTTGGTATCTCAAGAGTAAGGATATTTAGAAATAAGTTAAGCCCTTAAAAACTCAAAAGCTTTACTTCACAGTACACATCAGTGGATGTTATTTTGTTAAGTATAGGGACAGAAAGAAAGCCTGGGAAGGGAAGGTAGAAATACATGTCCCCTTTCTAGCAACCAGCTTAAGTATATTCTGTCCATTTACGTAAGCTAACAGCCCCCATAAAGTAGTCATGTGTAACTCCTTTGTCAGAACTAAGTGTGGGAAAAGGATTATCACTCAGGAAGAGAAGTTAGATCTAGAGTTACAATGTTTCAAACTTTAGAACTCCATGAGACTTCCAAATACTAATTTTCTTTATTTTAAATTTACTTAGACTGCAGTCTGATTGGGGTCTGAGAAATAATATCCCAAAAAGACTGCACAAAAATAAATGAGATTAGAAAATTAAAAACACACAAAAAACCTCCCCAACCCCCTCCCTCCCCCCAAAAAACCATTATGCACATATACAACCCAAAATTTCACTTAGTGCATTACATCTATTTTAAGTATATGGAAAAAATCTGAAAGAGTGGTTAAAAACTTAACCAAGTTTTGCCATTTGATCTCCCTTTGAGAAGTAGGAGACAGTACTTAGGCATAGCAAAACAATAATGTCTTTGCAGTTACTTTTATTTAGTAAGAAACACTCCTACTGATTGAGGCACCTCTCATGCCTCAATCATATTTTAAACATCAGGAACTTGCTCTGCAAAGCAAACTATTTCATTTTGACTACAGGTACAGTGCTAACAGATTTTTAAAGAAACCTAAAGCAGAAAAAAACCACATACTAATCATTGTTTAAACCAGCGATGACACAAAAACTTTTCCCTAATCCCATATAATTCACACCAAGTCATCATTCATAGATCATTAAAACTTAAATGTATCCCAATAAATTTCCATTCTGGATCTTAAATTATTTTCAGTCTCCCAAATGGAGAATTTAAGGTAATTCAATCATTTGTGTAAGCTTCTGAAGTACAAAAAGGAAAAAGCACAAATAAAAGCTATTTTCTCCTATTTCTGTCTCCACCACACACATTATCACCTTCCAGCCTGAAGGAGACAAATGGTAGCAGTACCAAAAGCTATTTTGATATCCAAGTTCTTCACAGGTAACATTAAAGGATCTGTTTAAGAAACACAGCAGTTTCAAACTAAGTTTTAATTTCTACTAAATTGAACTTCCCCCAATTTAGCAGTAAAAGAACATGCATTATAAGGCTACCTATCAAAGGCCCACAACTTCAAAGAACAGAGGATATACTCTTAACTGCTCCAATTTAACATTCCTAGTCTCTTAATAAAAATTTAGTCTTTACATGCTAGTCCTAAAAATAGCAACTCTCTCACAAATGTCAACAAATAAACAGGATGTCATGCACAGCATTTAATAGGTCATAATCAAAATTTACATAAACTGCAGGCTTGATATGTGTAATTATGTTTTTAAATACCACCCCTTCAAAAAACAATTAGTAGCAATGTACTTAGGGACAAAACACTCAAGTCTTATGTGGTTCAGAAGCTGAGGGCAAACCTAAAGATATTTTGGCTAGGGGTAGACAGGACAGAGGTGAGGATGCAGGAAGGACTCCATGAATAAATACTAACCGCCGCTGACATGCACTTCATAAAGCGAATATTTAGGAGATGACAACATTCGCATGTCTGGTCGAAACTTCTCTGCAAGAGTTTCTATCACATCTTGAGTTGTGGCAGTACTAGAGACACGGATACATTTTGTTGCAAAATTTCCAGCTGCTTTGTCTTGAAAGTAGAATCTCATTACTCCATGAAACTCCAGATCCTGTAAAGAAATAAAAATACGAAATCTGAGTGCTGGCTAGCAATTATAAGGTTCAGAGTTCTTTTATTATTAATTAGTTCCAAAAATATTATGAAAATATAAGACATTCAAATATCAGACTGGTTTTCAAAATTTTCATGACAGTAAAATTAGCAACTAGGACACTATAAACTTGAAAACAAAAGAATATCATGCAAAAACAAATTAAGTACTCTTTTTTACAGGAAATACTGAGAACTCGAATTTTTAGGTATTCAAATCTCAGCTATTGTCAGGAGAATCAATAAAAACTTTTTTTCTTAAACATCTTGAAGACTGTTTTGTTCCTGATAGCAGGCAGGTCTCTGTATCCCAAGAGTGTTATGCTTAAGGAACATCAGTGTGTCTCAAAGAGAACAGTTTAATGTTACAGGAGTCAAAGAATCATCTTTTCTCTCCTCTTTCCATCCCTTCATGCATTCCTCTCTCATGCTGTCATCTGTTTGTCCCAGAAACAACCTCTTGAAGAAGTTAAATAATTTGATTTGTTTGTATTTTATGTTTTCAGAAAGGTTAGTCTTCGGTACAGCTCCCTAAACACTCTGGGAGGGAAGAAAATACACGGTAAAGAAAAGGGCTGCAGCTGTCAACCAGGTGGCTACATTACCACTGCAATGACAATCTGTCAAGTACTTTCCTCAGTCATCAGAGCCCTCTGCTTCGCTCTGCAGCCTACCAAACTGCAGGAGGATACTGTCTGCTCCATTGCTGATCCGAACACCAACTCCAAATTCAAATTTCAGTTCCCCAGTGGACTCCACCTGGCCAACTCTTGCCCCTTGCATAAATCCCAGCACTCATGGGGCCCTGCACTCAAGGGGAATCAAGGATATTGACTTTGCCAAGCTTACTCTACAATTTAATAATAATTGCTTCTGTCTTCCCCTTTAAATAGATAAATTTCAAAAGCTTTGAAATGTAATGACTCCATTAGCAGGACACCCTCAGGTAGTTGGAAGCGAAGCCTTTCAAAGGCTTTGAAATGGACAAATCCTCAGGTGTCCAGCACAGTGACAGATTTCATGCTAAGCACAGCCCCTTCCAGCACCACATTTGACCCCAACACACATCACAACATTTCTCTGAGCAGCAAAGAACCCAAAATATTTATTGAAGCTAATCTCTCATTCAGAAAACCTTCACAAGAAGAAAAGAAAAAGAATATTTAAAAAAAAATTAAAAAGTCAAAGAGTTACAATCTATACTAAGACAAAGACCTGTTTCTCCTAGATACATGCAGAAGTAAGCACTGTTCTTCCCAGGATACTCCCAAGTCTACACCAATACAATAGAGTCCAGTGCAAACGCACCACAGACCTAAACAATGGCTGATTGTGTTTCATTCTGTTATCCTCACAACTTGCAGAATTAATCTTTTGGAGCCTGCACTGGTGTGTTCCCACAGAACTATCTATTGTATTCCGAAACTAGTGTTCCTTCCTGCAAGGAGTTACAGTTTCCACACTTCTCACTTCAGCTAATTCCCACCCCCACATACACTCTGAACAAAACCGCAATTATACAAAGGTGGGTCTCAATTCTTCAACCCTAAACATTTTTGTAACAGCTACTACTCACCTCTGAAAAGCATCCTATTCACTTCATTTCTTGCCTTTAATTACCTATATCTAATTATTAACTAATCATCCATACAGGGAATTACCCCTCTCAAGCACAAGGCTATTATATGACTTCTGGAAATCCTACCTACCATAGCAAATTGGAGCTTCCTTACATGTATTCTTGCTAATTCCTTCAGTGACTTCAAAAGGTCTGAGGTACAACTTCCTTTCAAAGTTCTGTCACCTTTCCACAACCTATTAAAATTACCACATGTCCATGAATTCTACACGTGTATCTGTGAATTCTGCAAGTTAATGTAGTTTCTACTCACACAGATATCTCAAGTAAACATCCTTTTTAATATTGGTCTCATACTGCACTTACATCCAGTCACCTGAAGGTGTCCAGCTAACAGAATCACTACATACCACTCAGCAAAATTACTTCATGTTCACTTCCTATAGTTATTGATGAACACTGTCTAGTTCTAGTAACTTGTTTTCATGTTATCCATTTGTTCTCTAAATTCTCAACAAATGCTGAAAGCATTTGAAAGTATTGCTCAAATTCTTTTGTTCTATCTTATGCTTTTATATTTTACTTGTCAGACTTTATATCTTGACAATTTTCCTCACATGGGTACTACTTCAGCTTTCTAGTACCTATCTTTGCCTGATGTTCAGCCACAGTAACTTCCTTTCACACTTTCCTTGATAGCTGGCATGCTTTTGGTCTGTACCTCCAGCACAGCATCTTAATTCTCAGCTGTCAGTAAGTACTTCGCTACTACTTGCCCCTTTAGCTTTGACAAGCTTTCCCAGGGCAGGTATCCTGCATTTCCCACTGGGTTGGGAAATTGTGTAGTTCCTGCAAGAAAAATGAATTTAAGCATGTCATGATCTCTAGTACAGAGAGCATTCTCGCAGGGAACGTTCTGAGCCACATCCCACACACTTCTCCGTACTCAGTTAGAGGGTTGCCTCTTCTGTTAAAGCTCCTTATCCACGACGCTTCACACAACAGTCAAGGTATTTTTATAATAAACTTAAGGTTTTGATCCACATGTTTGATTACTGTGAAAGACAACAACACATTTGGTTTTTACAGAAGTATCATGAAGCACAATCATATCCCATTTTATAACATTTATTTCCCTTTACACAAGGTTTTCTCCACCATCACCTCAAGGTAGTGCTGAAGGATAAGATTCCATTTGATTTTTCCAATTTATTTTTTTTAAGGAGAGGAGATTATTTTGTTGAGAACACATTCCACTGCCCATGAGGCATGCTTTTAATCCTACAGTTGTTTTAACAACATAGCAGATTGAAGAGCAAGGGAACATAGATTCTTTTAGAGAAGATGTAGAAAGCAATTCAAGAAGCTTTCTAAACTACCATAGGAGTTTTAATTATTATTATTATTCAATGTTTTACTATTACAACTTATTTCTACTTCTGGACACTAACAAGGCAGAGGAGACAAAACTGCATTTTAAATTCTCAAGATGCAACGTTTGTATGAAGGAAGTTTTGTTTTCCTTTTCTAAAAGAAGTAATGTGTTCTGAAGAATCAGCATTTGAGTTTTTTTCCATTGTTTTGACAATCTAGGTATGAAAACAACTGAATGCATTGACCACTGTCCCTTTCTCCACACCCTCTTCTATGGCAGCTTCTCAAGCTGTTTTCCCCACAGCCCACGTCCCGCTTTTCTTCCCCCCCACACTTTTCCCAAAGTTTCCTATTACAAAAAAAAAAAAAGACTGCACAACTGCATCAGAATGTTCTACCACTTCCCCATATAAAACTCTCTTTAGTTTCACGTTTCATTTCTATTATGTTCCAAACTGTACCTATGGGCACTGCTAGAATATCACAGTATTTAAATAAAAGTGTTTAGTGACAAGGAAGTAATTGGTTTCACATTTCAGAAAAATCAGGAAAGCAGGAGACTACAAAAACAAAAAAAACCCCACACCTTTTAGTCTTCATTGTTATTATTAGACATCTCGTGTGTGTGTGTTTGTATAGCTGCAGTTCAAGCCACATTTAACTTTCTGACCATGTACTTAGCAGATGAATACCAACCACGCAGAAACTAATGCCACCACTCACACCCAGACAACAAGGTAGGCACCACAGCACTCTCCACTCTAATTCTGAATTAAAGTGTTTTATTTTTCAGAGGTATATTTGATCCTCCAACTCATTTACTCCTGAATGTCTTTGTCAAGAGTGCTACTAGGTAGGTTCACCGTAGTTGATAACATGAACTTGTGTCAAAAGAAGAGGCAAAATAATAAAAATCACTTGTCCTAAACCAAATAGATACAGAAGTATCTATTATTGCCTAACACATTCTTGTAAGCAAAGAAATATCCTCAAAACATTTACAAATCTCTTAAAACCATCTTTCTCTAAAGATAAGAACTGCCATTTATAAGTTATCAAAAAGAAATTAAAATGTTTTCTGGATTTCAAGAGTGACTAATTACTGAAGTGTATGAACACTCAAATTGCTCTCAGGAGTTTAAATACATCATAAGCTATTTTAGCTCTCTCATCTGACCACACATTAGGTATTTTAGGTGTGCAAGTTCATAGTTCCTTATGTGAGGATATAGATCAGTCTTCAGCTACACGAGTACAGTTAATTTTCACAAAATTTTAATTCTGATCATCTAGACTGCAAGATATATTTTAAAGAGCACCTAACAAAAGTCAGCTTTTTAGGTCTTTAAAATCCTAAAGGCCATTTTCCTTAAATACAAAGCCTAATTATTCATTTTAATCACTATCAAAAGGAAAGAACTTACAGTAGTTTCCAAAAGTATATCCTACCAAAAAGAAGGTTTCAACTTACATAATAATTGCCAGTTAAGTATTGTTTCTTTGGTTTACAAACAAAAGTAAGCTGCACCCCCTTTTCATTAGGCGCAAAGAAAAAGAGTTTACAAAAGCAGTTCAAATACCTAGTTACCAATTTTTGCATAAAGCCAGCGACTGCTTCAAAACCAATTGGTTCAAACCAATTGTTTGATCTTTAAATCCAGCTCCTGTTACTTACTCTCAAGTACTTTAGAGCAGTAATCAGTAATAATCAAGGTTGCTCATGTGAAGCTATGTTATAGAGAAGCACAAATAGGTAAGAGATGCAGAGAAGAGCGACTCAAGCTCTCCAATTATGAAGACTGGTTACATGCACATACAAAAAGCATTCATAATTACAGAAGACAAAAGTGTTTAATACTTTGGTTACTTAAAAATCCCAACAAAACACAATCTTTTCCAAACCTCTCTTTCTGCCAATCATCCCACTCTTTACACACAAGAATATCATAGTCAAGAAGGAATATGAAAAACAAGTAGAAGGAGATAAAAAGACTGTGCTGTAA